TGACACAGTGTCTCAGTGTACAAGAGATTTCCTGCCTCACTTGGTTGTTAAGTACTTAATGCTAATGCTAATTTAGCTTGAAAATAAACAAAACACTTAAGCTTCATTACAAATTAACCCCTCATATTCCCAGGCTTATTGCATCCCGAGGCTTTTTATTTAGTAATTACACAGACAGTGAGTGAACTAAGTTATTGCTACATTATAGTACTGATGAATGGAAACTTGCACTTGCTGGCCTCTCCTGGCCATTTGTATCACCTCATTTAATGTCCAAGGGAGTATATGGGCACTAAAAGCTGAATTTTACTATCTCCATCCAACCTGGCTCCACGAAACCATCTTCTGATAAAAAAACATTAAAGATGAGTGTCCAAATGACAGTTGTGAGCACTGAATTTATGTTTCCCTGGAATGTTATTAACTAGGCACAAAATCCTTTGCCTGCCAGTGCTATAGAAATGATTCTCCTAGTACACAGAGGACTAGGTGGAACAATGGCACACAGCCCACACAGGCCTGGCCATTGGGAGAAAATTACAGGGGCGATGCTGCCAATTTCTGCTGCCATAAGCCAGGGAGAACAAAAGGAGATGAAGCTTGTGGTTCGATTAAGCCGCAATTGACTCGAGCATTTGAAGGCTTTCAGATTTACACAGCATTTTCGAAGTGTAGGAGCGGAGAAGAATTCTTGAGCTCAGCACAAAAGTGATTTTAGGTTTTACGTATATCCCTACTTATCATGCCCTGGTGAAAAAGTATTATCCATATAATCAATCTGACATGCAGAGACATTTTAATGTGTTTTCTCTTACTGACTTACTGATGTTATTGTTCTGCCGTGTCACTAAATGTGTCAAACAACAAGTGAAAAGAACACTTACTACAAACGTTCTTAAAAATGTTCAGAATAGCCACACGCTTTTAAAAACAAAGGTGTAAAAAAGAGCTTTTTGAAGTCATGCCATAGTACGTCTCAAAAGATGATTCTTTAAAGAACATTTTGTAAATGAGATGTGCAGATGGGAAAAACCTTCGTAAAGTTCGAAGAACCTCCACATAATCTAAAGGTACTGATTCAAGCCAAAAAACATTTACAAACTTTTATTTTTCAAAGTAGACTCTGATGATCTCAAGTCTCTGTACATCACAAACTCTATACGGTCTGAGAATGTAACCACTGACTCTAGTAAATTTTGCCTTTCACTCCATTTGTTATCTGCTATTTGTTGAAACTGGTAATTATAGTAAAAACCTGAATTTGTAGTGAATATCCTGCCTTCTTTGTCCCTGTATGCAAGCCAAAGGCAGACATTCCTGTCACTGTAAAAAAAAACATTCTTTCATCAGGTTTGGAGGTACCAGTGTACCAGAGGATCATCTTCACTCTGTTTTCTCTCATGAATTGCATGATTGTGTTAGAAGAAAACTCACTGTCACTTCTGAATTGGAAAGAGAAGAATCTGATCTCCAGCCAACTTGAGCAGTGAGAGAATATCTGAGTGACAGAACGACTCTCTGATGCCTGTGCACTTATATGATTCATAAGATTTGGGAATTTATGTTATGTACTTTGCATGACATTACACGTCCTTGTGTCCTATATTGTAATATGTGTTGCATCTATCTATCTATCTATCTATCTATCTATCTATCTATCTATCTATCTATCTATCTATCTATCTGTCTGTCTGTCTGACTGTCTGTCTGTCTGTCTCCCACATAATGCTCTTACAATACATTCCATTCTCATAAAATAACAATGTTGACAAATCAAAGGGTGCAAAGCTGAATAAAGTTGTGTTTTCCTGGCAGTGTTGAACACATCATTCTTCATGTTCTCTGTTGGACCAGCTTTCTCTGTTGAATGTGGGTTTGACATTTATTTTGCGGTGAAGCTTTAGCATTCTGTTCTTTATCCTCTTGTGAATCGGAAAGAGAGGAATTTGACCTACTGTTGACTTGGGCAGTGAGAAACATTTAAAGTACAGAATGACCCTCTGTGTACTTACACACAATAAAAAACATTGCATGACATTAAATATCATTATATTATATTATATTATATTATATATTATATTATATTATATTATATTATATTATATTATGTACTCTATATATGTTTTATGTTATGTTGTTGTGTATTTTGTGTCTGTGATGAGATCTATGGTGTCAGTAGATTTGGTGCACCAAAACAGATGAGGGCTCATGCCAGGTGCATGGTGAAGTGACCAAATCTAGTGAAAAGGCAAGTTGACCATGCATCCCTTTGAATACAGCTCCAATTGCCTATTATCTCAAACACAATGAACTGTCAGCCTGTTTAATCCAGCCCTTCACATGTTCAGGTATGCTAAAAGTTTCCAATCAAGTGAGTTTCAAAGTCAGCTGCACAGAGAACCATACAAATATAACTTGGACACGGCACATGCTAACAATTACAAAAATGGTACTGTATAAATTACATTCACTACACTGCAAATTGAACTAAATGCAATAAGGAGAAAACAAGTTATTATTCGCATTCAAGATAATGAAGCGCCTCACTGTTGCACAGCAGGTGTGTACTGCTACCAATTACTGAGCAATACAACCAATTTCACTTTATGTACTCAACAGAATGATATGCTGAAAAATAAGAAGCTGCTCTGCATTAATGGCATGGAATTTCTCTGAGCATAAAGAACATCTTATGTCAGCCTATGGCTTATGTTGATGCATGTCTTTTCCTGACAGCATTATGTCTTTAACTGTAAAACTAAGCTATAATTAAGATTTTTTCCCCCACATCATGCTCTGACAATACATTCCATTCTCATAAAATAACAATGTTGACAAATCAAAGGGTGCAAAGCTGAATAAAGTTGTGTTTCCCTGGCAGTGTTGAACACGTTATTCCTCCTCTCCTCTGTTGGATCTGCTGAATCTCCCCTGAATGTGGATTTGACATTTATTTTTGCAAACTTTAGCAGTCTGTTCTTTATCCTCTTTTTTTTCCATCGACTTTTGTCCTTGGAACATGTTCAGGCCTCCCCATGACACAAGTGCAGCAGTTCTGTGAGTTACCTGATTCAAGTGGCTGAAAATCAAAGCTATATTCTGAGCTCGGTTCACTGAGACAGAAAACGTGACATGCCATTCCACATATGGTGCAGATCTTTTTTTTTTTTTTGAGAGGTGTTTGGTACAGATCTTCTTCGTTTTGAAACCCTCTTTCCTTGCAGATGTGCAACTGGTACCATTCCGGCAGAAGAGATACATGGACTAGTTACCAAGGAACAAACACCAGCAACAAGAATCTGTTTTATTGGCAGGGCGTGGCTAGGAAAAGCCAATTTGAAAGTTTAAAGGCAGTGATTTTTACCACTCTGGCATGGCGAGAGTGAAATTGTGGGTGGCCGAGCAAACCCTCCTCGTGGCTGGGGTGCTGTGCCTGACACCTGATTGTTAGCAATTCTGGACAGATGCCAGTACTTGGGTGGTATGTTGAGGTTTAATGATACAGAGTTTTCTTATTACACCAGGAGTGAGATGGCCTGAGAGTCCTGGGAGCATCTATCAGCATTTAGGATGAAGAATCTAATGATATCTTTGCTCTAACTGATCTTTGACCTTGCCTGGTAATTGGGTTTACCACTGTATATTTCAAATGATGAATCAATAACAAGGCAGTGAAGGTCAGTGGATTGGGTATGCTGTGTTGAAGGACGCTTGTTAAGCAGCATGCTGAGCTTATTGGGTGGTCAGAAGGGAAGAGCACTGCTGTTCTTTTTTGGCTTCAAGACATCTCGCAATCTCCAACCTGGCCTATATGAATCTAACTGATGCCATATAACCTGTTTTTGAAAGGATAATCACATTGCTTGGGGTCTCGGAGCCAGCCCAGTGCTTCTGTAACCCATGTGACCAGAGTAGCCAGACATTTTTTCACCATATCCACAAAGAGGGGCAGTGTTTCTCGGTCTGCACGGGGGAAATTTAAAGTCTGCAGTAGCTCATGTAACTTAGTACCCAGCATGTTATGACTACTGTCTCAGACTACTATCAATACGTCAGACCTACAACAAATCAGTCAACGGCTCAGTTTCATCACTTCTCAATCTGTAAGCATGGAAAATGAGGCTTATCTTTGGCCTAATATTAGCTTTAAGTCTTAAATTGCTTTGATACTAATCTCTAATAATTTAAGCGTGCTTTTTCAAATAGGACTGGGTTTAAAGAATTCGTGGCAGTCGTCTTGCGGTTTGTCATATAAGAAGCTTTAAAGTTAATCGATAGAGAAAGGCACTTGAGTGCGTTCATTCTTCACCCAGGTCAAGTTGTTCTTTTCATGCCAATAGACTTTAGGCAGCAGACGGAGCGAGAATGTTTTTACATGTGATCATCCATCCAGTATGTGTTTCAGGCGCCACGCAGATTAAATGAAAGAATCTGAAAATGAAGGTCTTTAACTTTTAATCCTTTTACAAAGACCCTTCAGACTGTCTGAGGACGGATGGCGTCTCTGAAAAAAAAAGAAGTTTAAGTCACTGATCCACTCACTCTTGGGCGTAAGAATTAAAATCATCAGACTCCAACTGTCCCTGATTTCATCTCAGGAGTCACATTTAGGCAGGCTGGTCTATAAGCTATGCCTGATTATATCCGTCACTCCTTGCTTTTCCAGTAACAGCTTAACCGCTGCATGCTAACTTACTGCTTGAATATTAGCAGAGGTCTCGCGGGAAACTGCGAGATTTTGAGAAGTTTGTGTTGTATGAACGTGAAATAAATGATGTGGTTCGGGCTGAGAAAAACCAGAAATTCTCAGGTCGTGTCAAAGGATGTGTAAGAGAATAAAAAGGAGTGAAACGTGTTTTTTTCTTTCTTATTTATCCGCAATGTGCATATCACTTGTTCCACTTCTACCAAACTACAGTTCCCATAATCGCCCACAACAGACAGACATCACAGCAAGGTGAAACAAACCAAAGAAGAAAAAAAGGATCAAAACAATTATGTCCTTTTAGTGGTTTTATTTCAAATGACTTTCGACTACATGGAAATAAAGAATAAATAGACGTTTCTCTTAATTTACACGATGATTCATGAGTTAACTCCGTGTCCCCCCTTTTCTGTTCACAGCACAGCGAGCTGCAAAATTACACTGTAATCTATAGCTTTATTTCATTTGAGGTCTATAAAAGTTATATATATATTTCTTTATTTTTTCCGAATAATGGAAAAAGCTTGGAATTCCTTCAAATAAACGCACTTTAATGCGAAATGTTCTCACCATAAATACATTACAACCAAAGTATGCTCAGCAAATACAGTAGACGCTGGTTACACGTAATACTGACCTCTTTACGAGATATAAAAAAAAATAATAATATAATAAGAATAAAAATTATAAAATGACACCACATATACATAGCATGTACATTCCTACACCGGACAGGACAGTGCATGTGTGAGAGAGAGAGAGACAGAGAGAGAGAGAAATGGGCTTGAGTAGCTTCGCTTCTAGGTCCTCAGGTGGGGCAGGAGCATTTGCACTCCGAGATGACGGGGTACTGCACGGGGATCCACATGCACCGCAGCCCCCCCGCCTTGCGCGGCACGCAACGCCACCGCAGGATGGTGAAGTGCGCCGACTTGGCCGGCCTGCACACCATGCCCTCGGGCACCGAGCACGACCTCTTGCTCGCGCAGCTGCCCACCTTGACGTATCGCGGCCAGAAACGGCTGCCCAGGTCCTGCCACGCGTACACCACCGGGCAGAACGTGTACGACCACAGCCACAGCTGCAGGCGCCGCCGCATCTTCTTGCTCGGCTTCTTCCAGCCGGGCAGCTCAAAGTCCAGAGTCCGGATGTCCCGGGGCATGGGCCCGGGGGGCCGCAGGCGTGCCGCGTCCGTCTCGCTCCCCGTCGCCTCCGTCTCCTCTCCCCCGCCGCCGCCCGCGCGCTTCTCCTCCGGCGCGGAAATAGCCATGAAGTGCACGTCAAAGTGCGCTCCCAGCAGCGCGCGCAGCTCCGTCTCGTTTAGGTCCCTCTCCTTAGGATCCAGCACGGGGTCCGGGTCCTCCTTGAGGTCCACCACGGGCAGGCTGTCGCTGGGGATGGGGCGAAGGAGGTAGTAGTGCTGGCACGCGCCTTCCTCTATCCGCGAGCCGAGAGAAAACAGCAGCACGCACAGGGACAGAAAGTGGGGGGCGGTATCCATTATGGACTTTAATTGTTTTTTTTTCTCTCTTTCTTTAAGTGTGTATTTCTATATGCAGTGATGTGAGCTTAATCCTCCAGAGCGCTCTCGGGTCTCGGCGCTAGCTCGCGGGGCTCCGACGGGCTCCCTCTCTCGCGGGTCGTGCCAGGCGCTGCTGAGGTCCTAAGCGAGGCCGAGTGATGAGGAGGAGGAGCAGCGGCATGGCAGCATCGGAACAGGCCTCTGTACCGGAGCGGTGGCGCGCGCGATCACGCTCGGGGCCTCTTGGCGGCTGATGCTGTTGCTGCTGCTGCTGCTGCTGCGTGCGCGCGCGCGCGCGGGCGCCCGACGCTCTGCATGCTCTCTTCGCGCTCTGTCGGCAAAAGTGTGGGAGAGCGAGCTGCTCCGTCTGATTTATCCTGCCTGCTCGGGATGGGAAGCCCGCGTGCTTTGGTTTTGGGGCGCCTCCTTCTTTTTTTGGGGAGGAGGAGTGTTGGGAGGGGAGGGAGGTAAGGGGGCTTTATTTTTTGTTTCCCCACCCGTAGTTAGTTTTTGTTTTTCTGTCCATTAAGTTTTTTTTTAGCTTGTGTTGTATTGCGATGTTTTTTGTTTGTTCTTTTATTTTGTTTGTTCTGTTTTTTATTATTATTATTATTTGTAACTCGTATTTTGGAACCTTTTCTATTCGTTTTCCACAATTTTTTGTTTCTCTACGCATGTTCCGCTGTTTTTGTTTTCCCACCCGTATTCCATTTTGTTTCTCACAAACATTCCGCTATTTTTTGTTTTCCCACCCATCTTCCGCTGTTTTCCCCCACCCGTATTGTTATTTTTTGTTTCTCACACATATTCCGCTACTTTTTGTTTTCCCACCCGTATTCCGTTTTTGGTTTCTCACACATGTACCTGTTTTGTTTTCCCACCCGTATTCCGTTTTTTGTTTCTTACACATAGTTCGCTATTTTTTGTTTTTCCACCCGTATTCCGTTTTTTGTTTCTTACACATAGTTCGCTATTTTTTTTTGTTTTCCCACCCGTATTCTGTTTTCTCCCACCCTTAAGAGTGCTGCATGGGCTGGTAGTTCATTCTCTCTCCAGACTGTTTGCGAGTATGAACTACTATCCAATGGTAGCGCTGGTGGGCGTGGCTTTCTAAAATACAGGTGGGAAAATAGGGCCACCGGGACTACAGCGGCATGTTTAGAGCGTGCTGCCGCTCGCCCTCTGCCGGCTCACGCACGTGCACGACCTGTCAAAATGTGACAACGGGAGAGGGGATTGAGTTAGGAACAAACTCAGAGTGTGGGACTCACAGGGTGAGATAACATACAGTTTAGTCAGTTCATTCATTCATTCATTCATTCATTCATTCATTCAATCATTCATTCATTCACTCATTAATTAACTGTCCTTCAGCTGTGGAAATTTTAAAGCCCCCGTGAATAAACAAAGAAGCAGCCATAATTAAAACAATTTTGCATTCAATGTTTTGTAGCAAACTCTTTTAACGCCTACCAGAAATTAGACTCAACAAGCTGCTACACATTTTACTACTAAGGTTTACTGATTGAATTCTTGTGGCTTTAAAACAGCAGAGCCGCCTGTGGTTAGGAAAAGCAAGTCTTTCTGTATGTATGAGCAGGGTCTCGAGCAGCGGCAACAACAGCAAAGTCTGGAGCAAACAGGGTTAAAAAGCCTCAGTGTTTGGAGTTCCACTGAACGCTGTTTCCGATATTCCTGTATTCCTCTTTAATGTTTAAATTGACCTTGGAGTAATTTTCTGGGCTAATACTGTGACAGTATGTGTCCGGCGCCAGTAGGATGTGAGTTCTTGCTCGAGACAAAGGAAATGGGGTGAAATTATGTTTTCAAGATAAGAGTGCCAACCAACTGGTGACTTTTGAAAATGAGTCATCCCCAGGGTAAAAGCACAAGCTGCTTTGCACTGGACAAGCGCAGTCCATCACAGACAAAGAAATATCTCACTAGTTAATTGGTTTTGTAGGCAAAGCAATAGATAACACATATATGGGAGTAGTGCGACGTTAAGTAGAAAGTGCTCTCCGTCGTCTCACTTAGCTTCAGGAATCTGTCTGTGATGTGTTATTCTGTGATAAACGACTGCATGCTGGTACACATACCAACACATGCTTTTGAATAGTCCCACAGTTGGTGGTTAGCTAAAGTGGTAGATGGGCTCCTGTTCATTTTTGGTGAGGATCAAACATTGCGTCATTTGACTCTTGATCCATAGATCACTCTTTGATAGTTGCAGTTGGCAAAGTTTGCTCCCTAATGTATACACGCTCCACTTTTTCCATTCCCTCACAGTCAGATCCATATGTTTTGAATCATCTCATCGGCAGGCCTATTTGTCCTTTGATTTCAGTGGAAGTAACTGAGCAAAGGCTGGTAGAAATGCGACCATCAATAGGTCTCTCACACTCAGCGTAGTGTGCTCAGTATACACAAAGTTCTCTTAATCTTAATGATGGATCAAAGGCCCTCCCAGGTTGAGGCACAAATATTCCTGATTCTTTCATGACCCAGCTAGATAAAAATGTAATTTGTTTTTGTTTAATTCCTCACGAAGACCTTTGATGATCTAACAGGAGAGCAATTTGAACGCTCGATTTAAAAGCTACGGTTTCACTGTAGCTAGCTTAGGGTCACTTCTGTCTTAAATACAAACATACACACAGACTCTCTCTCTCCTAAACCCCTTCCCCTCCTCGCTGGCTTTTGGAGACCAAATGTCTTTTCCATCTGATATCGCTGTCCCCATCAGAACTAGGTGTCTTGCACCATCAGCCTAAAGTGATGTAAACTGCGATCAAGTTAAGCTCGCAATGTCGTTGCCAACTGTATAAATTGGTGTAGTTTATTTATTATTATAATCAAATTTCCACTTCGCAGAACTAAAGACATTCCAAATTTCCATTCAGTGATACCCACATTCAAAAAGAAACCTATATGATAAAATGTATTGTTTAAATAAAAAAAGAACTTTGTAAAAGTGGAAAAGCACCCTTCATTAAATTTCCAGTCAAAATAGCCATGAAGCACAAGTTATTCTTTTTTCCAGGGGTAATTTCTGAGGAACATAGATATAAGATAATCTACTTGGATAAGGAAGGAGAAATCCAAAAGAAAATAAGTGAAAAATGGGACTCCTAATACTCCGTACAAGACCTGGTAGACCACCAAAATTGTCACCAGAGGAGAGAATCAAGCATTTCTGTCCATCCATCCACTGGGAGAACTCAATGGATCTGAAAGGATGTGTAGCTGTCAAGAAGCTATTATCAAGAAAAGGAAACAGACAAAATAGTAGAAAATATGAAAACCAAATGAAAAAGTTGCTAGTATTCACAGAACAATGGAACAAATGTCCACCCCAGAGTCCAGACTTCAACATCATTGAATGTATTTGGGATTACCTAGAAAGCAGAAAATGCAACCAAGTTCTTCAGTTGTTAAGGTTTCTCTATAATTTTCTGCAAAATATGTTTTTGTTTTTTCTTCAGAAAAGAATAACTTTTATTTAATGGCTGCTTCGATTGGGACTTCAATAAATGAAGGGTGGCCTCTGCACTTAAAGTATAAAACGTGAAAAATCAAACAAAGCACATTTCAGTACATATCTACACTGGAATGTTTATTTCAGGTCATAAACACATCTGCCACAAGGCCAGATTCAGTTGCATTGCAAAAGCTAACGTAACAATAGAAACCGGGATGACATGAGACAATAACTGTCAAAAATACGATACCGAAATATATTATTTGGATCAATAAATGCATAATGCAAAAATATACAGATATGATGCTCTTTAATCGTTTTGGCTTGCTGTGTGCACAGTATAAAGGTATCATGACAAATACTTATAATTGCACAATAATACCTTATGTGGAACGACAGCTGGTCAGACTATATTGACTCAACCAGAGTATTTGCAATGAAATCTCATTTAAAAACCTCACTCATTAGAGAACAGGCACAACATACACTATAAGAGCTGGGGCCTGAGCCCAAACACACAGGAATAATAAAGTAGTGCATTTTATCATTAGCTCCATTTTACCATGAGCTCCAACCGACATCACTGTACAGAACGTGGGAGGATGAAACATTTTCATCATCTTCAGAAGGAGATAAGTCAAGTACAAACATATTTCGAGGAACAACTGTGCAAAGACATTTTTAATACACTGCAACATCAACAAGTCATAACATTGCAACAGACAAATTCACAATGTTGCTCACGTAAGCTGCCCTTGTTGCCTCTTTTCTCCTGACAGCAGTTTGGACTCCAAAGACTTCAGTGGTGAGCGTCCAGTCTCTTGCATACACAAACTGTCATTTTATTGAACCTCTGCGGGATAGCCGTCAGGAGCTGAATTTGGTCTACACTTACAAAGAAACGGCTGAATGGCTGAATGAATACAGCCCTGCTCTCAGTGCAGCATTTCATTTTTTTAGACTACACTTTTATGTACACTTAAAATCTCTATGGCTTTTCTGACACAAGTTGCCAGAGTATTCAGAGTATCATTTTGTATCTATTTAACCTGTAAAATACCCAAATACTCATAAATATCCTTCAAATAAAGTGGTGTATACCCTTCATATAAAGTGGTACAAATCTGCAGTCTCAAAAGAAAATAAGGGCATCATCTTTTATGGGGCAAAAAGGCATTAAAAAAGCGAGATATCTGTTCATTTTACCTGCATTCATCATGCATAGGATGCAAAGAGATCTCTAAAATGCACTCTTTCGTGCCTATTCATAGAACACAAGTGGTTTCCATTTGTTTTAATGCTGCTGGCCATCACCAGAGGAATGGGAACAGATGGATCAAACCTTTGATACTTCAGATAAGAACAACCACACAACACAAATCATCCTGAAGAGGTAAAGAACATACAACTCAAGGCATTTGCTATGAAAAGGTCCTGTTAATTATTTAAATTAATAGGTCCTAAAAACCTGCATTGAAGTTTTCATTCACACACATTACTGTCATCTGGACCAAGACAGGCCCTTTACAACAATGATATGATTGTTTAACACTTCAAGCAAATGATAATTTCTAATGGTTAAAGTAAGCCTGTAAACAGATAGAATACGATGCCTTAAATAGAATATGAACCATTTGTATTTTCTTAGGTGTGGTAAGATCAGAACCAGTCATTTAGACAAGCTATACTTTCTTCTTACTGATCAAACACTGATGAATCATTGAGGGGAGATTCGATATGAGCACTAAAAGTCTGTCTGTGCTAGTGGATCTCTTGGGCAGTGATTTGTCTTAGAGGCGTACACCTCAAATATCAGACTCAACCTAAAAGCCATAATCAGAGACTGAGAGAAAAAGTACTACTTTTCACTTTTCACCTATGATACCAGTCTATGCAGAGGCAGTTTCAAGTTCAAAGGTAAAAGCAGCACTTTTCACGTTGCATTAATAATCAGTATTTTAACAGTCAGAGCCACGGAATATGAGTCCTACAGAGTTGACCAGCAACTTCATTTTTTCCCTCCACATTCTGTCAAGAAGATGCACAAATTACACACACTAACTGTTTACAAATTACAACACAGTTTTTACAATACTGTGCAAAAGTCAGAAACTCCCCTTCGTTTATTTAATTTCCAGTCAAGACGGCCCTTAAGAGCAAGTAACAAATTTTTCAGAAGGTATTTCTGAGGAGACTAGACACAAGATAATCCACGGTAACACTTTATTTGGAGTGGTCCTTTATAGATGATAAATAAACTCAGATTATCAGTAACACATCAACAACATATCAGTAAAGTAGCAGTAGTGAAGCATCTGAATACATTGAAGTAAATATCTTGAGGATGTACTGTTGATACATTACATGAAGTAGATGTATTGTTAATGTGTTACTTCCATTAAGCAAAATCCAACCTTACCCAAAACCTAACCCTAATCCTGGCCCTAATCTTTACCTCAATTCAAAACCTAATCCTAACCCTGGCACTAATCCTGACTCTAATCTTAACCTCAACCCAAAACCTAACCCTAACCCTCAAATGTTTTTGACATGTTACTGAAAGTCTTTGTGTTTGTTTTATCTAAAAGGACCACTCAAAATAAAGTGTCACCTAATTCACTTGCATAAGGAAGGAGAAGGAGAAAACAACAGCAGTTTCCAAGTCTGGAGTGCAAAAAATTATTAAAAGAAACAGAGAAAATTGGACTCCTAATAACCGTGCAAGATCTGGTAGAGCACCGAAACGGTAACAATCAGATAAACAGGACTTTCATCTTTGGTAGAAAGGAGAAAATCAAGCTCTACTCTTGCTTTAGATTCGAAAAATCCACAGGTGTTTCTGTCCATTCTTTACTTTGAGAAAACTCAACACTATGAGTCTGAAAAATATTGTGTAGCTGTCAAGAAGCCGTTACTGAGAAAGGCAAATAGACAAAAAAGAAGAAAATTGCAAAGAAGCTGCTGGTGCTCTCAGAACAATGAACTGGCCACTCCAGATCCCAAATCTAAACATCACTGAGTGTGTTAGGGATTACTTGGATCATGAGAAGCAGAAACTGCAACCAAGACTGAATTTTGGAGGTGTGGAAAAATATCCCTCCAAATTCCTTTGAAAAACTGAAAGTCTCTGGAAAAGATCGGAAGCTGTAAAAAAGTGTGCATACATCAAATACTGAAGAATTTGATATTATATTTAGTTGTTGAGGCTTTTGTGTAATTTTGTGTTAAATGTATGTTTTCTGTTTATTTTTTCCTGAAGCAGAAAAATAAATAAATTGTACTTTATGGCCATTTTGACAGGAAATCAAATAAAGTGGCCTCTGACTTACGCACAGAACTGCATGTTCTTATGCCTGAAAATGTACTTATTGTGGAGCTTAAGAGGCAGTTTGGTGGCTATGTGACAGATTACATCAAGATGACATACAATAATGCAGAAAAGGTTTGTCTTAGAGTGTGCTGCTGAGGATTTCAGAAACTTGATCATTCGTTTGGTCATCGGAGTCCACATCCTGAGCTGCTGTGGCCTTTCTATCTGTCTCCTCGCTCTCCTCTGGCCAGTGAGTGCTGTCTCTGCTGGGGGAAGTTTCACTGCATGACTCCACAAAAATTCTGCGCACGTTGGGTTTACTCTCTCTGTGAGCGTTCTTCCGCTCATCCAGGCGATATGAGGCAGAGGGCGAGTGCGGTAAAGAGCGAGGCAGCTCGAGTGGCAGGTCCAAATCACTCTGTCTGGTGTAAACTCCCTCAGAAAGCGAGGGCGTCTGACTCTCACTCTGAACGCGCAGCCAGCGATGCGGCCCACCGAAATAGCTCCTCTGGGGGTGGCTCTTAGACAGTAGCTTCCTCTTGGTCGGCGGGTCGGCCAGAAACTTGCAGCGGGACGCCTTGTCTGAGGACTTGGTGGAGTAAGTGGACAGGGACAGGTCCTCCAGGTCTTTAGTGCATGACTCTGTTTCCAGGATGGCCATGGAGCAGGCAGTGTATTTGAGGTCATGCATCTGCAGGACATCCGGAGCACTCCCACTCAGGGCATGCACGGCCTGATGGGACAGGTCCTGGGCCGAGGAGTAGACAAGGTCCAGATCCCGAGGGCTTAGCGCATCACTGGAGTCATAGTCGCTGTCTGTGGGGAGGAAGACCTCAGAGCAGCCCTCTTCATCCGAGCCTGGCTGGGAATCTGAAATGAAGAGAAGAAATAATGACTCACTCCACTATTAACACCATCAAAACATCAGGATAGGCATTTCAACTAGTTTTGGTATGTAAATTTACACATTCTAAACAAACAGAACAATATGTCACACAATGTACGCTGTACAAATGTATCTTTACTTTGAAATACTTTAATATACATCTCTGCTTAGACATAATTAGTTACGTAAAATGAGACGCAACATCAGCTGCTTGTGTCCCAGTGTTCTCTGTGGTTTTAAGTTGCATACTCAAAAAAAATAAATAAATAAAAATAAAGATAATACACAATGTATTTAATTCTTTATTTCCAAACTATACTTATACTATACACATAATTCCATTTTACATTCAAAGTTAAGTCTGAATATCCATTTGAATACACATTTGAATATTCATCCCTATCCCTAGTGCAGACGCAAACATTTTCAGTTCTCAATAAACATAACTCATAACATCTCTGGGGTTTTTGCATCACTAAAATAATCGAATTACTAAATATTACTTTGTATGAAACTGTTTAACATGAACGTTTTACCGCTTGTAGCCTTTCTTCTCCGCATCTCAGGAGATGGAGAGGGGGTTGGTAGGTAGTCTGTGTTTGAGGAGGTCGAGTCATTCTTCTGTGTTACAGGCTCTGCACTCGCATCCACCAGCCAGGTGATGGGCACCCCACCCAGAGGGTGCTTATAGCGGGCATACTGCAGGGCATCGGTAATCCACCGGATATCTCGCCACATCTCGTCCATTTGCTATTATAACAACACAGATAAATGTCATTGTGAAAAACACTGTATATACATTCACAGTACATTTAAAACACCGACTCGAGTAGATTAATTAACTCGAAGAGAAACACATGCTATTTTGAAAGTGACTGATGTGAATGCTGATTTTACAGAATTGTAAATCATTATTACAGAAGCAATCTGTTCAAGTTCTGAGCTGTGCCAGTCAATATGTTACCTTGAGTTAAGATGTGGCTGATTAATACTGCAGTACGGCAATCCAAGAGTAACAATCACCATGCTATTAAATATCGCAATGACTAACACTATAACTTATTTGGTGTTCATGCTCTCTTTTTTTAATGTTACATTTTAGTGGTTCAGAATTGCTCTTTAGAATTTCCAAACTTCAGAAGCAATTCAAGCTCTGGCTGAAATAAATTGAGAAGTAGAGTGTGTTTTCAATCAGAGCTGTTGACTACCACATAGTGAATCTCCGCAATTCCCACTTTCATATTTTCCATTCTTGAAACTTACTATGCAATTGTATTTACAAGGGGCTCACTTCACATGGGAGGGGAAAGCGCAGAAAAAAATGAGGCTGGGTAGAAGAAAAAAAAAGCTGCAATTTGAGCTCCTTCTAGCAAATGCCATGTGAGATCCAACTTATGGGAATGAGGGTTGACACCAGAGGATGACTCCTTTGGAAAGTATGCTGGGGCTAATGACAAAGGAGGGACCAGAGTATGACAAGTGAAATAATATAGAAGGGGTTGCTTTCACTCGCAAGAGAGGGCAATTCAACAAATCAGCGTTCATTTTGATGTTGTTGGCTGGAAGGTACTGCAACAAATTGGGGAAAAGTACTCAAAAGACGGTGACGTACATATGATGCCTAGTTCATGAGTATCAGTCTTCTGCCACTTAAAATAATGTATTTTTAAAAATATAATATTATATAACAATATATTTTAAAATCATTCAAGAATTTTGTTTCAAATTCCTTACACTGACTTTTCTAGTCCTTTAACTAACTAAAAGCAACTGGTCTACAAGATAACAGTTTACCATATATTTGGTTGGGAGCAGGAAAGGTTTGGAGATCAAAATCTTATTTAAAAGTTGGGTATGAATGTGCGATGCAATAAATAAATTAACTGACTGACTCAAATTTAGTCTAGATAACATACTGTACCTGGCCCAAATAAGCTCTTACTTGAGAGTATTTTGTGTCAGGGATGCTTCATCTTTGAATGACGCTATTTGCTGCATGTGTTTAAAATGCATGTTTTGCGGTCTGTCTGCCTTAGTGCCTTGACAGGACCTCACAGTGGAAAACTTTGCCTCTCACACAAGAGTGGGCCCTTAAGCACTTTCCACCAACGTGCCATTTTGACAGACGTGGCCCTTTTTTTTGCTTGCTTCTTAGTGGAACATTAAAATTTTCGTGCTAATTGATGCCACATTGCGTAGCCACACACAGCCACGCAGTCACTCGCATTGATTGGTATTCTTTTTCTCCCCTCATCACTCTTAGGCAGTGTGTAATCTGCGGTTAGAGTGCCGCTTTTTTCCACAGCCTCTTGGATCCGACATCACACAAACACTCTTGTGGTTTTGTGGTCAATCTCAATTAATAGTCCAGACCGTGGTGGCGAAGAGGGATTATTTCAGCCCAGCGCTCTGAACAGACAGCTCTCTTTCAAGTCCTGTTGTAAGACTCTGCTAAGCTGGTATTGAAATTTCAACACAAGAAAAACAAGCCATTTTACAGTTTATATGTCTAGTAGTTATACTTTATGACATCAATAAACTATTCTAATTGGATTATTAGCTTAAGTTGTTTTTGTAGTCTGACGTTTCACACACTCCCGGCGTGTCTGGGAATATGCATGAAAGCCATCCCAACTGTGTAGTGAATTATCAAATGTTTCATCATTGGCTTTGATATTAGAGATATGTAATAGAATGATGAAAGAAAAAGAAAGGCAGTGTTGTGTTGAGTCTACAGTAGAGCTGGGCAATATGACAATATTTATCATTATCATGATAAATTATGTCACAATACAATTCAACAAGCTTTTCTGAACATAATGTGGGCAGACAGTACTCTTAGAACTGCATGCTTCATTACAAACAGAGCAACATTTGTCCCTTTTAACTGGATTTAGTGCAACACAGTATGTGAAACACTGGATAACAATCACTGCATTCAAAGTTTTAGATCGTATTTTTTAAATGTAGCACTATTGGTTCTTTAGTCTCTGTTCCAACTGACTAGATATGTGACATGTGACATACTGTGTATTGTGAAAATGTATTACAATATTTTTGCCATACCGCCTACCTCTAGCCTGCAGTACTAAATACCAGATAAATACCTGAATAAAGTCCAGTATATGCTGGTGTCTCTGCTTAGCCGTTGCCAGTTCAGTGTCAGTAATGGCCTCTCTAAGAGCCTGCTGGGTTATCAAGGCGTCCAGGTCAAGCACAGAGGACAGGCGGCAGTACAGGCCGATAAACTTCTCCTTATATGCACAGAAGTGAACTACATACAGAGACATGAGGAGAAAGAAAAAGGGAGAAGTTACTCAGTATCTCATTACAGCTGTAATACATAATAGCTGGCTCCTCAAACTTTATTTGGCTGAATTTGTGCCGTGTAAAACCAGGATCCTTCTGAATTATCTACACAATACTTAAGTTGAAAGGCTATCATTATTTCCCCTGAACACTGACAATTCATGCCATCAGTGCTGCCTTTAGTGGAAATCTGTGGGTGGTTTATAAGTGTCCGCTCTCCAGACCGGAACGACTCTATGGTATCAAATTTCAAACGCGAACATTCAAAACTTTCCAAATAACGTTCCATCAAACAAACAAGCTATCGAGCATTTTAAATTATAGGCATAGTTATGCATATCAATAAGATTCGGATGTTAACAACAAAATGCAGCCTGCAATTTAAATAAAAACGATCTGCCATTGTTTACACAGATTTTCTTTAATTATAATATCGATTACTTGTTTAACCTTTCCTCGTTTTAACACAGTCTGGAACGGGAGGGGGTGTTTGGCTAGCCGCAGAGTAGACGGCTCTCCTGCTGCTGTGTGTATGTGTGGGTCTGTGTGATTTACTGAAGCTCCGCTGGGAGCGTGATTGGGGGCAGAGGAGAAGGAGGGGGGAAAAGAATCTGTGGACTTTATAAGGCCAACTGAGCTAATATTGTAGGGGTTGAAACAGAAGCCAGTGTACCAAGCTCAAACATTTGAAGAGGGAGGTTGAGGAACCCCGAGTGGGGTGTGTAGGGATTGGCCTGGCCCGGGGCAGTGCACACGTCGTCTGAGGCAGGCAGCAGCAGAAGAAAGGACACATTGTGACCCAGCTCTAGCACCTCCTGCGTGTAGAGACGGAAGTGCTTGGCCTGCGCAAGGGACAGACACACACACACACACACACATGCACAAGTTTCTATGAAAGTGAAACAATGACACACCATATTAGCCAGGCAAGACAAAATCAAGACTTAAAGATGTTAAAACTTCTAAGACTTGATCTTTGCTGTTCAGTAAGTGGAGTTTGGTTGAATGTTACTGACTCATCATAATTTTCTCAACAGCAATTTGTACATATATGCTCACTCTCTACACTCTTAAAATAATGGTGACAAAAAGTGCTCTTTGCAGCAATGCCACAGGTGAATCATTTTCAGTTCCTGTGTGAGTTGTGCGAGTGTGAAGGACATTTTTAAAATTTATAGACGTCTACATTATGTAAACGTTCCATCGTGAGAGTAATTTGCATACAAGGGTCGATGTTCAGTACTGTGCAAGGTCAGATTAGATATTATCCACTTGCATAAGGAATAGTAAATTCAAAGAAAAATAAGTAAAAAAAAAAAACAGCAGTTTCCAGCAGCAGAGTAAAAAATGTCAAAAGATAAACAGAATTTAAAGCTTTTATCTTTGAGAGATAGAAGAAAATCAAGGTTGCTTCAGTTCTGAAAACAATCCACAGGTGTTTCAGTCCATCCTTCCACTGTGAGAAGACTCAACGCTACGGGTGTGAAAGGACATGTAGCTGTCAATAAGCTGTTACTGAGAAAAGAAAATGGCCAAAAAAAGAAAAAAAAAACATTGGAAAGCAAACAAAGAAGCTGCTGTCGTTCTCAGGACCAACTGAACACCCCTCAGCAGTCTAGACCTCAACATCACTGAATGTGTTTGGATTACTTGGATTGTGAGAAGCAGGAAATACAATCAACTTCTAAGACTGAACTTTGGAGTGTGTGGAAAAAAAACATCCCTGCAGATTTCTTTAAAAAACTGAAAGTAAGTCTCCTGAAAAGAACACAAGCTGTAACAAAGGTAAAGGGTGGACACATTTAATACTGAAAAATGTGATATTATATTTAGTTGTTTTGGCTTCTGTGTAATTTTCTCTTACATATGCTTTACGCTTCTTGATAGTGAAAAAATTAAATAGTACTAAATAGCTGTTTTGACTGAAAATTAATAAATGGAGGGTGATCTCTGACTTTTGCACAGTACTGTATACACCAATCAGGCATAACATTATGATCACCTCCTTGTTTCTACGCTCATTGTCCATTTTATCAGCTCCATTTACTATATAGGTGCACTTTGTAGTTCTACAATTACAGACTGTAGTCCATCTGTTTCTCTGCATACTTTGGTCAGGACCCTCATGGACCCTCACAGAGCAGGTACTATTTTGGTGGTGGATCATACTCAGCACTGCAGTAACACTGACGTGCTGGTGGTGTGTTAGTGTGTGTTGCGCTGGTACAAGTGGATCAGACACAGCAGTGCTGCTGGAGTTTTTAAACACCTCAATGTCACTGCTGGACTGAGAATAGTCCACCACCCAAAACTATCCAGCTAACAGCGTCCTGTGGGCAGCGTCTGTGACCACTGATGAAGGACTAGAAGATGACCAACACAAACTGTGCAGCAGCAGATGAGCTATCGTCTCTGACATTACATCTATAAGGTGGACTGACAAGGTAGGAGTGTCTAATAGAGTGGACAGTGAGTGGACACAGTGTTTAAAAACTCCGGCAGCACTGCTGTGTCTGATCCACTCGTGCCAGCACAACACACACTAACACACCACCACCACCTCAGTGTTACTGTAGTGCTGAGAATGATCCACCACCCGAATAGTACCTGCTCTCTGAGGGTCCATGGGGGTCCTGACCACTGAAGAACAGGGTAAAAGGGGGCTAACAAAGTATGCAGAGAAACAGATGGACTACAGTCTGTAATTGTGGAACTACAAAGTGCACCTATATAGTAAGTGGAGCTGATAAAATGGACAATGAGCGTAGAAACAAGGAGGTGGTCATAATGTTATGCCTGATCAGTGTATATGTTTTATTAACTTGCATTAAAAACTAAGAACATTTTCTTCCTTCTCCTGTAAGTTGCTATTTTGTAATTACTTGCTTTTCATTGGACAATAAAAATATATTATGTAGATAACGTCATCACATGTGACAATGTTATGCTCTCAAATAGCGCATAATAACATGTATTTCACAAGATCTCAAGTATACCTGTATGAGTTTTATATGATGATGTGTGTTTATAACATAGAAATCCATTTCAACGTTACACTATGAAATTACACATATCCAAAAAACCTGACTATTTACATGTGAAAATTGTAAAGTTCTTCATAGCTGATGTCCAAGTAACAGTAACTATTTCCAACATAGTAAGACCTTTGCTTGCTTTGGTGCTGTTGTAAGCCAAGGTGCTGGCAGTGTGCTGTACAGTACCTGGTGTAGAGGTAGATTGATCTGGCGGAGCAGGCTCTTAATGGCTGTCTGGAGCTCAGAGAAGAGCAGGGGGGCATGGCAGTCTGCCGCCTGATCTGCTCTTTCCACCTCCTCAGGGCCAGACAGAGTCTGAAGCCATTCCCACTCATCCCTGGGTGGGAAGAGACGGCACTCAGTAAACACGCACACACAGAAACACACTACCAGCACATCACCCTCTGCTCAGGCACCCACTGTAGAGTGTGCCACTCCACACGCCCATTACGTGACGGTGGAGTTTCCAGGAGTGAGTGGGCAGCCAGGGAAGCCGCGCTAGTTCCTGATATGGAGAGCTAAAGCTCTGAGTGAATAAAATGTTTGCCACCAACCACTAAACGCCTCCTTATTTTCAGTCGGAACGTCTAGTTCTGAGACAAAATGTGGGAAAGTTCCATTAGTGCCACCCTCACACTAAGTAGGGCCCCTTCACCCCTCTGATGAATATATCAGCTGCACAACTTATAGAAAATATGATGTGGATGACTAGATGGCAACAGACACATTTTTCTTAAAAACATCTAGATCATTCAACCTTGTCATGCCTAACATCTCACTGGCGATACATTAACACCTTTAAGTCAGCCGTCAGAACGGTGCAAGTCCATGTTGGCCATTTTGAATTGGAGCTTTCTGAGTGCTACCATGTTTTCTATCACTATGTACAAGAAGCGCCACGCTGCCTTTATTGTTGAATGAACTGCAATAGTTTCTGAGCAAGCATGTGCAAACACATTCAATACTGAATTCACATAGACAAGGGCTTATTGTTGATCTCTTTAATTAAAGTAACAATTACAGGTACGTATGAAGTGTATTAACACTGATAGGTTTGCTCCTTCAGAATGGTAAAGTGTAAATAAATATCTACAAACTTTACGAGATCATGTTCTTTATATACCAAAGTAAATATGACAACAGAATTGAGACATCGTGTTTTTAACAGAGAAGAGTGGCTTAGAATGGAGAAATAAGATGTTTTTTTGGCTCAGTTAACAAAGAAAACACTTCTACTTGGCCACTACTACTTGGCATCAACTAAGTGCTAACGCTTTCTCTTTGTGGATGCTAAAGCAAAGAAAAAAAAACTATTTTGTTGCACCGCATCATGCAGAAGAAAGACATATATAAAGACTATGTAGTTAGAAGCCGGTAAGCCACAGATGGTGTAACAGAGAGCATTTTACTCCAGCTCACAAGGATACATAAGTATCTGGTGGGTAAGCTGCTGGAAAAAAGAGAATTTCTTTGCTCCAGAGATTTTCCTCGAGCCGTGAGTGGGCATCATCCTGTGTGAGCCTCCCGCTGACTTCCACGCTCCGGCCCCATAGTAAATTTAGTTTTACTACCACACCGAGCGGCAGGATAATGCTCTCCCTGTCTGGACCTACCTACCGGGGTCAACGTCGTGACCTGAGATGAAAATAAATAAATAGCTCCTTTACCGAACAAAAACAAACAGGAGTTTTGTTTTGCTCATAAAAAATGGCCATGTCAAGAAAGTATGTTCGCCTGCGGTGAGGGGAGCATTCCACGACAACCCAGAGCTTTAACATATTTCAATATTTCATCTTTACAGGCACACGCTCTCTTCATTTATTCATTGTACCAATGAGACATGTCTGTTTGTTGGCTCCTGCATTATACAAGGTGTACAACTGGACTTATTCATCAGAGATATGGTTGCATGGAAAACTTTGTTCAATATATATATATATATATATATATATATATATATATATATATATATATCATGTAATATATTCAGCACAAAGCAAGGTAATTATCAGGTGTACGCAACCTATCTTGCCACTTGGATTAAACTCAACATGTTGATCAGAAAAGATGAAGTTATGAGTGGGAGAGAGTCTGTACACTTTAGTACATGAGAGGGTCATTTATTCATTTGATCGCAAACCAAGGCCCAGCGTACAAAGCAATTCATCTGAAACCACGTCTCACTCTGCTTTCAAAACGAAATGTAACTTTGAGGTTTAACTTCAAGGTTTCTCCAAAATTAACCTCAAAAGTAAGGCTGTAAGGTAAAGATTTCAAAGAAATGCAATAAAATCATGACCATAATGATTGTTATTTCAGCTTTCTAAGATGTTTTTCTGTATTTTGTACAGTGATGAAAAGTTGTTTCGAGTATCCACCTGGAAACGTTCCAGTTGTCCCGTATCCTGGCATGGCAGAGCATGTTAGGTGTTCGTTGAGGGACCAACACCTTAATCTGGTCCACAGAGCTGCTGAGCTTCAGGTAGCCCAGGTACAGGCCTGGAGACAGCCGGTGCTGACTGCGCCTCTGGTATGCTAGAATGTCCTGAAAAACACAGAACACAGTATGAGCACACTCACTCACAACATGAACCACACAAAACAGCAAATGGAACAGTCTGACCATCGTCTTCACATTATTTAACCATATTAACCATATCAAACGATTCTGAGAATTTGACAATGCTTCCTTTAACTCGCTTAAATCTGCAGCCAGAGTAGTTATGCCACAAGCATGTCCACACTAGCCAGAGTAAAATGTATTAGCTTTCAGTGTGCTATCTTATTTTCTATCACTATATAAAATACACAAAAGCCTTGCTTTATTGTTGGATGCACTGTGATTTTCCATTCAGTGCACAATTTGGATTGAAAAGCACTTACTGTCATTTTGTTTAATCAAAATAATGATAAAATGTGACTTACATTGTTATTCCTGTGTTTTCTTGTTCAAAAATGATTTTTTCTCTTTAATACATCATATTCTTTAAATGTCAAACAAATGCAGCAACCGCCTTGAGAAATCATGTGATTAATGGAGAACACCAGATCAAACGGCAGAAACAACCACACTTTTACACTGGCCTTAAAGAGTTAAGCTGGTCTGAATAAACTGAAATTGAGAGAAATAAAGGCTAGCTATATGCCAGTAATAAAGGATATGAATCAAAGCTTATCCAAGCTGAAAAGAACAGAGAAGTAAAACGCTGTAAATGTCTTTATGCTTCAAACTACGGATGTGCAAACTGAACCCATTTGTGCAAAAGCAACACTGATCTAGCAGTACTTTTCGTACAAAATAAGTTCTACAAATGTCTACAGCCCAGTTCTACCTGTATGGTGATGAGCAGAATGTCCAGGGCATAGGGCTCCTCTGGGGTAGACAGAGACTTCCTCTGGCTTTGCAGTTTGGACACCTGCATCCACTTCCCGTTAAAGAAAGAGTATAGGCTCTCCATCTCCCTTACTGTCACAAGCAGCACGTTACCATGGCGATCCTTAATGGGCTCGTAGTGGACACGGCCCAAGTTGTGGGTGCCCAGAAGGTTCTGTGTGGACAGGAAGATGTATGACTGTGATTAAGAAAGGATGTTCTCTAGAATGCTGCAATACTGATTCAATAGTCCTCCTATGAGTTCAGTGGGTCTATAGTGCTAACAAAAGATAAAGTGGATATAACAGTGCAGTAAGGGTGAGCTTTTAATCATGACTGCCTTCCAAAACAAATAGCTCAAGCTGCTGGATAGCAGCACCTTTAATTGCCCAATTTCATGCAGTCTGAACTCAAGTCCACACAAGCTACCCAGCCACCCAACCATACAAACCAAGCAGAAATGTTACAAATTTCTCACTGTGGATTATCAGACGCAATTCAATTTGTGTGTGGTGAGGCTGGAATCTCATTAGGCTAATAAGACGCTATCGAGTCTAATGATGAGCTGGCAGACCTGCAGTTGGCCAGCGGCAGCCAGCATCTTCTGCCTGGACTGCAGTGTGGAGGAGGACGAGTTGGAAATAGCCATACTCTGCCTGAGCCACCGGACATCCTCCCACATACACGAAAGCTGTAGAATAAATTCACATATTTATATAAACATTTATGTACCTTAAAAATCATTTGAAAGACTAATGCAGTAACAGCAAGACTTGTATGTACTTTAGTGCCATATAGAGGAAAATGATGATGAGAAACAGAATAAACTGGAATTATTTGGGTTAACATCTTCATTATGAGATAGAATAAACCATCAGAACAGAAACTATTTTGGCGGATGTCCCTGTCATTTAACAATAACCTATGGTTTATAAAAATACCTACAAACATGCTGTTACTTAACTAGAGCAATTCTTCTTCCTCCATTACCCAGGCATAGCGGTCAGGCGGAGTGTTTGTCATACCTTGGTAAACCACAGAAAGTCCTGCATGAGGGAGCTGCTGTAGGAGTCCTCCACCTCCACGATGGGAATCTGATCCTCATTTGTTACCAGCAGACTGTCCTTATGATAAAACACTGCAGCTATGTAGATCCCTCTGGAACCCGGGCGAGAGGACACACTCAGTGCACAAGAGATTACACAGGATGACAGAAAGCAGTAACACATGCCATCGTAAGAGCTGAGTTAAGCATATAATGTATACTGACCTTTTGAGGGTTTTAACAAATTTGGTGGAGGAATGAAAGAGATGTTTTAGGCTTCTAGAGACAGACTGCTTGCGACTGGTGTTCTGCAGCTTCGAGGTGTCTGAAAGTCAGAGAGAACCAAGGTTTATTCACACAGAGGGCAGATTGATGCAAACACAACACCTTTTGCAAGCTAAAATAATACCTATATATAACAATAAACTGAAGGTTATAGCACAGTGCCTTCTCTGCCACACACACTAAAAGAAGAATACTGAAGGCCGAAATAATGGCCGTGTACACCATTCCCCTTCTAAAAATAAAGATGTCAAACAGGGTTCTTGGAAGCAATGCCATAGAAAAACCTTTTTTTCTGAACCTTCAGTCCCTAATGTACCTTTCCATGGAAGATGGAACCATTTTTCTATAAATGAAGTGTGCAAGTGTGAACCTCCACATAATGTAAAGGTCCTACACCAATTAAATGTTTTTCTTAGAACATTCAAGCTAAAAGCCATTTAGAATCTTTCTATAAGCGTGTAGGCTGCTGCCTCCATGCAGATATATTGAAAAATCTAAAGGCTTTTTTTTTTAAACCCAGGTTAAAACCTTAGTGTCTTTTGTCCTCAAACATGTCTGGAAGTGAAAACAAGCAAACTAACACAGCACAAGGCTTGAGCATATTTTATAAGGAACGAAAAATGGGTAAAACAGAGACGGATCGTGTGAGAGTGTGCCTCAGGGCTGCTAAAAAGGAAAGGGTCAGGAGGGTCACGCCACCGACAGAAGAGTTATCTACAGCTTTTTAGCTGCGTATCTCCCGCTTCAAATGCAGCCATATCAGTGCGCCTTTCAGTGATGCCTATCTTCAGACGACCCTGTTTTCATGAAATTAAGCGTCACGTAATTGCCCCCCGTGTAAACAGCAGGGCAGACGGAACAATTCGTGTGGCTGAGAAGCTGTTTACAACGTGCAAGTGACCAGTAGAAAAACTCAGTCACCACGAGAGTAATCACGCTAGCTCTAGTCTCTCTGTCTCCACAGGATGGGGGTGCACGAGTGGGGGGAAACTTTCCATTTAAAAAATCCTATCAACCCCCCGTGCACTGCTGTGTCTTATGAGCCCCAAAAGAGTCCTGTCCTTTTAACTCAACAATTGGCAGCAGTGTCTAGGTAACGGTATGTGCTCACAGACGTGAAATGCTTGTGCAAAAGATCTGTTCTTCTGAAGTTGGGACTGCATTGCACAAAAAATCATTCAGGATGAAAATCCTATGATCAAAGTTAGCTGCAAACAGAATAGATCATTGTAAAGCCCTCATTACATATGATATGGTATAAACTGACTATAATTTAGCTACATGAGGAATTATCTTTACATTCAATTTTTCTATACTGACAGATTTGAGTGCCAATGAGAATTAGCTGAATACACATGAATCTGTTTGGTTGTAGATTTTACTGTTTAATGACATTCAACTGAAGAAGCTGAGTGTATCCTGAGTCACTAGTATAGCTTCCATGGAGCTGAGAGACAGAGACAAACAGAGACAGCAGACTAGGTAACTGGTTTAGCTGATTCATGTAACATATAAACAGCCATAAAACTATATGAATTTCACTAAACACTAAAATAATTAGCTGAGTACTCAATCTTGAACACGATTTATGTTTGCCTAACAACGTTTTCACTCTGGAACTGAACTTGGACAATGGAAAATGAACTTGGCTATCTATTCAGTAAACCAGCTAAAGTGACTAGGAGAACACATCACTTAACAAGGATTTACATCTTAAATTTGTTTATGCATCATTGCTGCTTTCTAAGCAAAAATCCAGTCAGACTCATCAATCTCCTTATCTGACAGCACTATGCATGTGTCTTTCAGCATCTTTGGGATGTCTATTGTAAAAAGGAATGTAAAAATGTGCAACTACTGGAATATTTTGATTTATAGTATTCAGAATTTATATTCGAATATTTGTTCAGAAACACTGAGTATTTGAAGCCTCTAAAGTGCTTTTAGGGCCAGCTCTAGAACAGCATGCCCAGCAGTGCCACATTTAAAAATTGCTGCCAAAACCTTCAACTGTTAACATATTCAATATATTTCATATTAAATGCTCTCTTTTTAATAAAACATATACTCACAATATGCTCAGAAAAGGATATTGTGTCATATTATGAAGTAACGTAATACAACATGATCAAGTTTCATCATGTTGCCCACCTCTATGCAAGACCATGAAGGAAATAAGTACATGATGCTAGTGCAAATATCTGTGCTTGCTTTTCTGGATCAAGCACTATTCATTGTTTCTCACCCTTCTGTATTTCACATAACATCAAAATAACACTGATATCTCATAATGGGAGTCAGTTGTGTCACTATAGCTCTATTTGCTGTTCTTAGTTCGAGATATGCCACTGGACATCCCGAGGACATGCGATCCACATCGGACACTGGAAGCATTGTGCAAAGCATACAGTGTAAGAGAAAGCTACAGTGATTCAGTGGACGGGGAAGCTTTCCATAAGCATGGCTGCTGCTGCTGCTGTTGCATGTGCTGATAACTCAGCCACTGAATTTGTATTTATTTCTTGCTCTGGAGGTTAACTGACTTTGACAAGTGGATTATATGACATGAGTGCGTTGGCCTCCCGTGCCGCCAAACTGTCACCCCAAATAAATAAAGAAATGCTTTTTCATTTATGAAAATAAAAAATGGATCACCTTTGATTAATGACTTGGCAATCCATCTGTCTGCCGTGCGCACTGAGTGTGACCGTGAAATGAGGTAAGTGAGAGTGAAAGAGAGTGGGAGTGTGTAAGAGAGATGCAGGGGAGGAGTGCTGCTAGCGTTCTCCATTTTCGAAGTAATTTAGTGAAGGTCAACAGAGCCTTTTCAACATATGCGAAGCTAGCGAGCTCATCTATAATGGTCCGAGCAAGACTTTCCAGACCCTCACTCACAGAAGCAGCTTACATAGTCGGCGAGAGAGCAGAGCTGAGGAGGTGTGCGTGCGCGTGTGTGTGGGTGTCGCTGTGTCTCATGCTGGAACACAGAGAGCTGTGTGTAGCACACACACACACCCCTCGGTCTGTGAGCACCCTCTCAGCTCCACATATACACATCATAAATTAAGATAACCTCCCCTTAAATGAGCAGCGCCTTTTTTTCGCCGTGGTTTTTATAGTGGTGGCATTGTACCAGCGCTGATTAATTTTGCAGATTTATTTTCGAACACCGTCTCTCCAAAAATAAACTGGGTAAATACATCGCCCCTGCCAGCATGTGTGCTTGCGAGTGCGGGACACGCACACATGCTCAGCGAGACACAAACAGACGTGAGAGAGTACTATGTCTCGAGTGCTCCGAATCGAGAGCACTCTAAAAGCTTAATTCTTCTTGAAGCAATGGACGTAAGAGGGGGTTTTCTGTCAGGCGTAGTGGGAGGCAAATTTTCTGTTTTTCTACTTTTCAGTGCAAATCCTTAAACATCACGAATCGTGAGGGAGAACCATAAACAACTCTCAAATAGTCTTTTTCTTCTAGAATCAATTATCCAGTATAATGTCGTTCGAGACTCTGGCAGCCATCCCCCCACTGACATCACTGACTCATGTGTTGACTCATAAACAGATGAGTGATGCAGACTTTTTTTCTCTCTCTCCTCCCGCCAGTGGCGGCGCGCATAGCTGCCTAATGAAGCTGGTGTTTGTGAGTGCTGAGCTACTGTCAGCACAGCGAACAACACTCCTCTATGCCCCTCCAGCCAGCTCCTGGATTAGGGAGTGGGCTGCGGGCCAAAGCTGGCGCTCCGCTCTCCACGTATAGCTGCCGCGCTACGGCCGGCCTGCCCTGATCTGCAGAGGTGTTTGCACTCCGGCCCTGTGATTTACAAAGCTACAGTATACCAGCGACACGCTCGACCCATAAATGCGTGGAATCCAAAATGGATAAATGTATTAAAAGATTATTTATGTACACAATTCCCCAGCGCCCCTGCTCCTGTCTCCTGGCAGGTCCCGAGGAGGCTGGACGAAAGGCTGAGAGAGCGCATTCACATTGCTCTGGATAGCCTATAGTGGAGTAAAAACATTTTTACCACGCTTCATTTCTCCACTTTAATACGGAGTTAATCTACTGGAAGAAGTGTGGGCTTAAAGGAAGACGAGAATGAGACTTAAGGAGAAAACAGCTCTGGTGAGTAGGCAGACAGAACAGAAAAAAGAAAGTGAGAGAGAGAGAGAGAGAGAGAGAGAGAAAGAGAGAGAGAGAGAGAGAGAGAGAGAGAGAGCCTTATGAGGGCTATAAAGAAGAGATGAAAAACAATAAAGAGAGAGAAGAAATGAGGGCTGACACAAAAGACGTCTACAAGCTGGGTGAAAAACACAGTTGATGAGCATGACGTTATTTCTGCATTCGCCATCTGAGCTTTTCATGCTGATGTCAGACTCTTATATCCGCAGCACAATCAAAGCACAACAGGAAGGACATGTGTCTGTTACAGACATTCACAGCCATGACTTTCTGGAACAGCGTGGGATGATACACAAAACTGTACACTAATCACCATTAAAAGTACACTCAGGTACACACTTTAAAAATAAAGATTCCTAAATGGATCTGCACACTTTATTTACAAAAACTGTTCTTTAAAGAAACCATCCATTCTATAGCCTCCTTCTGATGGACCCCTAGTGATCATTCTGCCGGTGGAATGCAAATCGGTTCAATATTTCTGTATTGATTTTATCAAATAAATCATTTTTCCCTTAACTCCATTATGAGATTACCCAGGACACTGCTGGCTCTCTGTTCTCTGATAAGTAAAATGTTGTGACTCTGTGTTGAGCTGCTAGCGAGCAATAAGGAACTAAAGAGGAGTGGTGAACCACCGGCAGTGAAAACATTTCACACCTCTCCAAAAAGATGACTGTGTCGAGCGAAATGGATAAAGACAAAACTGCTGCTTCAATAAAAAAAAGCATTTAAACACAATAAAAACACTTTTATAGAAATGTTGACTTGCTCGCTCACCTGTGACACTTTTGATTTGATAAATCATACACAGAAACTGCATGTTACGGCTACTGTGAAAAGGAATTAAGAAATAAAAGTGCCTCTTTAGTGACATCACTCCAAAGTATCATTTTTGGGACTTTTATTTTTAAGAGTTTACTTTATCAGCTACAGCCACCACTAATTTTCTTATTTTCTCCAGACCACAAAACAGCCGTGGCAATATAGAACATACATCATCAGCAATTATGAATATCATAAATTCCAGCAGTTGGAGATCCAACCCTAACACAGCAGATCTTCCGGAGTATCTGAATATCAGAACCATGCCAGACTAGGGTTGGAACTAAATTCTTCAGAAAAACAAATCTATAGTAGAGTCATGCACATCTAACCCACACTACATGTATTCTTGGCTTTTAATGATGCGGTTTAAACGGTGTGGTTTAAGATCTTAATGGCAAGTGAACAGAACAAGCAATATCTCATTATTTTTACATACAGCTTCAAAAACTCTATTATTAGTATTGAGATTATTAGTCATTATGCACACACACACACACACACATCAAACACTGTCAGTCAAACGTCTGGGGACACACCAACGTCTCGGCATGAAGTTGTTGAGTTTCCTAATGGTGTCCTGCGATAATCCATCTCATGCAGCTTGAATATTCTCACGCAGTTCGGTATTTTTTGCGGTAGGGGTGGAGTGTTGATAGCACGTCCAATAGCATCCCACACATTTTCAGTCAGGGACAGGTCTGGCGATGCAGCTGGCCATGGCATAGTATCTATGTTGTCAATGCAAGCTCTTGAGACAGCAGCCATATGCGGACGAGCGTTGTCCTGTTGGAATAGCACACCGGAGTGTGCATTCAGAGAAGGTAGGGCCACTGCTTGCAGGACCTCATTAATGTAACGTTGGGCTGCCAAAGTGCCTGTAATGAAGACCAAAGGTGATCTGGCATCCTATGAAACTGCACCCCACACCACAACACCAGGCCTTCTGGACGTGTGACATGTGACAACAAACCAGTCATCCTGGTGCTTACCACGGTGCAGGACTTGTGACTGAAGATGACCCGCTGCCATTGTGAGTTACTCCATGACAGTCTGGCACGACACCATTGCAGTCTCTGGTGATGTTGATGTGGTGCTAAGGGCAGTCGTCGTAACAGTCGTAAATGTAGTCCTGCATCATGCAGCCGTCTGCCAATGGTGCTGGCATTAACAGGATGATTCATGGAGGGCATCACTGCTCACTGAATGTCCGCAATCGTGGCTCTGAGTGGGTTACTCCGTGCACGTTGAACAATCCGTCGGTTCTCCCTCTACTTGGTTTGTGTAGGTCTACCAGATCCTTCATGGCGCTGGAGTGTGCCTTCTTCTATCCACTGCCACAACAGCATGCTATGGTAATATCCGCACGACTGACATGGTGCGCAATACGTCAATAAGACCATCCTGATTCCCAGAGCCCTTCCAACTCTTCCAATGGCTCAAACTGCTTTCGAACTCTTCTCCGAGGCATACTTCACTTGCAAAGGATGCTACCAACACAACAGCACGAGTCAGAATGGAAAGCACGCGCAACGGGACGACCTTATATAGTCAGTCAGGTACAGCAATAAGGCCCGTCTTTGCTTACATCACATGTGCGGCCGAGCGTGACACTTCCATCATTCGCATGTCTCACGATGTCAAACCTACCCACTAAGTTTCATTCCTGTCGACTGATGCCTTCTGGGTGCAACTATTTTTTTGACGATGAGTGTATATTACACGTGCACAGCGTGCCACATTTTAAGACCATATTGTGCAGCCCTTCTTAACACTTAAAAATAGAAATCAGTTTAAATGTTGCCATCTTCTTTGCAAAAACTGAGGAAAGAGCTGATGAAAGTCCTGCCCTGGGAATAACTCCATCCTTCACACATTTTATCCTCTTGTTGTGATATCAGCAATCATCACTCAAACAGCTATTTCACCCCTTAAATGGCCAGGATCTGCTGGTGGGTCCAAACTTTTATTACACACATCCAACTTAAGAATAACTCAGTCAATGTGGTTACAGAATAATAAACATTAGGTTGTAATAATCCTTGAATTTTAAGGTGTTCCATAATTTTTGGTGAAAAGATTTTCATTTTGTTCATTTGCCAATATTTTGGAAAAAAAAAACAAATCACTATTTAGGCAAAACCTGTTCTTCGTATCAGTAAAGACACTTTGATGAACATCAAGCTGAGCACTGCAAAATATACCTAATGTATTAGGAAATATTAGGAAACAGTTATTTTATGGTAAATCCAACCTGAAATCTCCTGTTGAAGTCAATGCCTCTAAAACATATTCTGAGTTTTATGTTTCCAAGAACCAGTGGGCTGGGAAAAATGTTAATCCAACAAAATCATACTTCTCCCCTATATTTCAGAGACCCTCCCTGATATCATGTTTCAGGTGGAAATACATCACAGTACAGAAAGAAAATGCGCTGTGATTTCCTACTCTTGTTGACTTTAACAGAGTGGATTTTTTTTACTTAATTGAACAGTAACAGCAAAAATCAAACATCAGAAAATCAAGCTTTCTTAAAACTTTTTGACAGCCAGTATACTTTTAAGAAGTTTTTTTTTCTAGTTATTATTTCATATTTCAAGGATGTCTGCATTTCTAATTGTGTCTGTTGAATATTTCGCTAGCTTCATGCAAAATGCAAACTCTCAAGGGAGGTACTGCACGTTGTGAAAATAATGGGCTGCAAACTTCTTGTAAGTGAAAAGTAAAGTTATTACTTATTACTTAGTGTAACTCTAAGACAAAGACAACATAGTGTGAGCTATGAGAGTCTATCATAACTCAGTCCAAGCTAAATCATTAACTCCTTAAATGGCCAGGGCCCACCAACGGGGCTAGTTTTATTACACACTTCTATAACCTATAAATAGCTCAGCTAGTTTGCATTGAAGCCTGCAGTTACTGAATAACAAGCCTTAGAATGTAATATGCCTGGGATTTTAAGGGGTTAAAACAACAATATCAGCAATCATGGCAAAAATAAAGATGCTCATTTACCACCCCAACAGTGTGAGTTGGGGTGGTGAATGAGTTGGAGTGAGTGTGCAGTAATGGGTGTGACACAGATACAGAGAAAAAGACAGATTTCCAACAGAGAGAGTTTGCACTTAGAAAAAGAGTGATATGGAGTGTGTGTGCTGATGTGTTTGTACCTCCACAGCTGTAGTGTTGGTGTGTGGCTCGGACCTGCTGCAGCAGTCTCTCCATGGCCTCAATATGCCCTCTCTTCCGTGACTCTCTACCATCACACTCCTTCCAGTCTGACATACACAGACACAGTTCATATTAAACCCCTGAAATTTTGCCCCCTTAAAAATCCACAGCTATCAGTATAACACGACTTTTAAAATCTACCAAAAAGCCTTTAAATATTTACTCAAGAATGATTGAGAACAGAATTCTAGTTAGTTCAGGTTGTGTGTAGACATACAGTACTGTGCGAAAGTCAGAGACCACCTTTAATTTTTTCAATTTCAAGTTAAAACCGACACTAAAGTTATTAATTTCTCAGCATCAGAAAAAAAGCTGAAAATATGTATTAAACAGAAAATGACACAAAGCAATCAACAACCAAATATAATATTAGCATTTTCAGTATTAATGTGATTACCACTTTTTTACAGCTTCTGTTCTGTTTGGGAGACTTTCTTTCAGTTTCTTTCAGTTTTCTACAACTCCAAAGTTCCATCTTAGAAACTGATTGCATTCTCTGATTCTCACAATCCATATAATCCAAACACATTCAGTGACGTTGACTCTGGGGTGTGAATTCCATTGTTCTGAGAACACCAGCAGCTTCTTTGTTTCCTTTGCTCAGTAAGGGCTTCCTGACAGCTACACATCCTTTTACACCCATAGCGCTGAGTTGTCTTCTCACAGTGGAAGAATGGACAGAAACACCTGTGGATTTCTTCAGATCTGAGGCAAGAGTGGAGCTTGATTTTCTCCTCTCTCTCAATGATGAATGCTTTAAGTACTATTTATCTGATGGTGAAGGTTTTAGTGGTATACCAGGTCTTGTGTGGTTATTAGGAGGACCAGTAATTAATGGCCATTTTGATTGGAATTTAAACAAGTGAATGATGGTCTCTGACTTTTGCACTGTACTGTACTATAAATAAAAGACATAAAAAAGACTAAACTCTCTGTCTGCTTACTGAGTCTATATGTATGGATAACAAGAATGCAACAGTTCCAGCATATAAAACAGATCAACGTGAATGCTGGAATCCTTTCAGAACAAATAAATTCAAGATGGAATTGCTTCTGCCATTAATTCACTATAAAAAGCTCAAAAGCATTCTGCCTGCTTTCTTTGTGTGATCTTGTAAACTGCACATCAGGCAGCTGGATCAGAAGTGTTTCTAACTTTGTTAAAAGCCTTGGCAAAAATGGGTCATGAAAAGTAAATTCACTGCAGTGCTAACTTCAGTAAGTTAACTGAAACATTTATGCTGAAAAGCACATGAAATAGACTAAAATCAGACATGTTGAGTAGGTATATGTAAACTGCGAAATCTTACAATTCCAGCTCACCTTTATATTCTACTATTTTTCAACATACAGGAGAACAATCTTTATTTGTTCTGTGTACAGCAGATTGATTTGACTCCATGTAGGCCCAGCCTTCACGACAAATTAATGTGAACATAAAACATCAGACTACCAAATTAGATTTGCCAAGCCCCGTTTAAACCTCAATGAGCCACTTGAGATTCGCAACCCACGGTTTAAAAAACAGCACTTTAAGAGACAAATGGGCACACATATGTGCAGTGCAAACACTTTTTTTAATCCATAATGGTTGGAGATGAAACACTTTTTTTATTCCATAACAGTTGGAGATCATGTTTTCACAGACATTTTACAATAAAAAAAATTAGAATAAATAAAATACTGTAATAAAAACATCAGTACCATCAGAAAAAAATCTTTTTTTCTCAGCTAAATCTCAGCACTGAGTCTAAGTGCATTTTCTAATGATGGATTTATCATCTGCGGATACACAGCTCTGGTGACACTGCCAGGTCTGCCTGCCTTTCTTTCTTTCTTAGTTCTGCTTTTGAAGAGGCACCTCATGGCCAGACACAGAGAATAGCAGCAGCAGGATGTGCCAAGTGAGTCGTGACAGTCAACTCAAGGCAGAGATTCTACAAACATTCATCTTTTCAACCGTTTTTTTCTGACTGAATTACAAATATAAAAGCAGTATGACGCTTCAAGAATGTTCCATTTGTAGAAATGTCATGCTGACAGACGAACGCCATAATGAGTTCATCATTACCATGTATGGTATCTCTGTAAGGCAGTGAAAAAAATGTTCACTTACTGGAGGGAACAGCACAGGGAGGCTGAGAGAGCTGTGATGGTCCCCAGCCCTTCATGTTGTAGGCGGACACACGAACATAATACTGCCTTCCCTAAAAGAAGCAAACATGGAAGCAAACTGGTTATTTCCTTGTATACTATTGCAACTACAGGTGTCTTAGAGCAGGGGTCTCAAACTCAAATTACCTGGGGGCAATTAGCCTGGTGGTCTTATCCAAGGAGTCCAGTTGAAAAAATGCAAGGTAAAAAAGGGCCCAACATTTTTTTGCATGCATGAATTAAAGTTTTTGAATTAAATGTTTACTAGCAATTCAACTCATTCACATAAACGTCCATATAACAGTAGAACTATACTGACTTCCTATTGTGATAGCATTGTTGTTCCTGCTGAACATGAGTGGTTAATTCTGCATTGTCAGTGAATTCATTTTAAAAATTCCATTTGTTTCTTAATTCTGACATGCTGTATCTACCACTATGTCATGAATAAATCCACAAAGGCAGATTTAACTATTAGTCTAAATTAGAATAATAGCTAAGTTAGTTATAGCTAAATTATAGGCTGCCCCACTCAGTGTGCACTGTTAATCAGTGCTTCATCGGGTTTTTGTTTGAATGGTTCCTCTTGGATAAAAGAGATCCTTACTTTCAAAGAGTTTTACTTTTAACAACATTAGCATCAATCTAAACTGATTTTATACTGCATATGTTGGCTAACGAGCCACAGTGTCTGGCAAATCTACCTGTCAGATGCAAACAGGTAGCCTCAGGAAAAAAAAGAGCTAGATTTTAGGAATAATTATTTAAGGAATAAATTTCACATAGGTGACGGGCCATACAAAGCTTTCTTGTAGGCCAGTAATTTGAGACCCCTCACTTGGACTATTGTAACTCCTACTCTGATGAGTTTGCTTTTTCCCCACTGGTCCTTGCAAATGAAAAGCAAATCCTATTGTTTTATTTAACTTTGAAACCTGTTAAAAAAATAATGGGTCATAGCCAGCATTTACAGAGCATTCAAGACATTCAAAATTTGCATCATATTAAAATGTTCATCTTGTAATTTCTCTATTAAGCAGCTTAAAGCATGTATTATGTATGTGTAGCTACATGTATACAAAAGACTAGTAAAACAGACACCCTACTTACTGTACTAAGACCTGTTATTGTGCACCTCAGAGATGTAAGATTCTCAAGGATCAGTTCTCCAGCCAATAAAGAGAAGTCCTTCAAACAGCTCCACTCCACTGCCAGAAAAACACACCATATCACAAACCAGAAAACAGTTGAGAGCACAGTAATCTCAAACAGGACTTAGGACAAGATCTGAAACAATAGTACACAGTATGGAGTCATGCTCTGAAATAATGCTCTGAACAAATGTTTTTAAAACATATTGCAGCCTTCTGCTGCTGGCTGGCGCTGTTGCCTGAGACTCTGGAGGTGTGGCTAGGCAGATGGCCACATGCAAAGGCTCATAGTAATGCACGTCCTCCAACAAAGAGACTAAATGATATTGTTCATTGTTGTCTGTTAGTTAGAAGCATGGCTACCCCTCTGTGTCTTCTGTAGACATTATAATATGTAACATTGGAAAACAAAAATTACACATGCAGAAGACAAATGAGTGTATATAACACTTTTATGTGCTCTACATTTTCCTGGCCTTTAAAAGTGAGATAGAGGTGGAATCAGCTATCAGCTTCATTGTGGCAGGAGTGGGACTTGCTTGCTGCTGATGACTGGTGTGTGTTTGTGCCACAGGCTCGGGATGCAGAGCAGGGAGTTCTCACCTTTATATTTGGTGACCACAGCTGAGTTGATGCTAGCTGGCTCCTGAAAGGTGACGGTGAGAGATGTGCTGCTGGACACAGTTAAGCGCACAGCTGTCGGAGCCTCTGGGACCTCTGTGTGAACAAGATCAAAGGTCAGATATGAATCTGCTGCAAAAATACCTGTCTGGTTTTAGAGGACTGGTGCAGTCCTCAAACACAAAGTGATCATTATATAACTTTAACGCTGTGAGGATGTGGTATTCAATATTCACAAGATCACCTAGTATATAACACCTCATGCAGCAATACTTTGTTTCCTTTGTTATACATTTAGAAACAGTTTGCTGAAAGGTACTGACAGTTAGCCAGTTAGTATCACTGTTGCAAAATGATGAGACTTGAACAGTGTGATATGAAAACAATGCCTTCCAACCAGGACAAATCAGAGTGTATATGTTTCATATCTTTGACTTATTGGATGATTCATTTAACGCTGTTCTGCACATTTTATAACTTCATTCAGGAACTATGTTCGCTGATTCTGTGAAACAGATTTGTGCCAGATATATATTTTCAGTGAAAGGTAGTACTGTAAAAGAAAATAGTAGACCATAAGAATAAAACTAATTATGGATTTTTAAATGAAACTGTCAAAATCAGCAACAATCAATTCAATCATTGAATCTGTCAAGATTGATGGATAGAGCATAATTCAAAATTGAGGCCACTGTGATGACAGATCAAGCATAGCACTGTGCTGCAGTGTAATGTGGCAGCCAGAGCATATCTCATAGTAGTTTAAAAGTTTAAGGTTAACATTTTCTGCAGCTTTCTGCTCACAAGCCTTACTGGATTTAGTCCTACAGATGCACTATGCAGAATGAATTTGATTCAAATTGTGTCTGCCTATAGATAAGCCGAGCCTGCTACTGCAAGGTACTGGTGAGCGCTAATGTTGCTGTTAAATCTGTGGTGAATTGCTTCCAGTCAGAATTCACAAATATTTGCTCTCAAAAGTGCCACCAGGTGTCGTCACTACTAAATTACTAATATAATCACTTGTATAGAATTATGTAAAGTGAAGCATATTTTGTGGGGAAACTAAATTGAATTATGGAAACGTGAGTGGAAAAAAAGCTGCAGTCATGTATGACCACTGATTGTATTGTCCACAAATTTCATTACCAAATATAAATGTTTCATTGTCTTATCATGTTTCTTTTGAAAAAAACATGGGTTCTGACAGCTAAAGTGTAACAAAGAACAGAACTCCTTCCATGAACTGGTATTTTAGAAACTTCAGTTGAGTGCAGTTAAATATACATGCTGTGATTCGACCAAAATGAGCTCTGCTTTGGTGATTTTGAATGTAACCCTGTTACTGAGTGCATTAGGGATTCTTTTCTCCCTTGTCAACACCTTAATCCCCGATCTGGTCTCCTCCTGGCTGTATTCACTGGGCTATTTGTAACACCAGGCACACAACACCACTAACTGCACCATTCTGCTCGACTGAAGCCCTTTTCACAGCCTCCTGTGAGAATTGGAAAATCTTTCAGCAATTTGATCTCTGAGAGTTTCTGCGGCATAGCATTGCTGATTTGTAATAGGTGCCTTGGAAGATCTTTACACAGACAAGACCACAAAAGTAAGCTGGTATAACAAGTATTCAATTTGCCAGGAGAGTGTTCCATACACTCAAGAGTCATTTGAGGGAAATGGATTGTTCCTGGGTAGGCAGAGAATATGATCTTAACACTTGGAAGCCAATTGCTCATACCCACAATTTCAAATGAACCACAGGATACAACTAAAATCGCAATTATGTGGGTGGATAAGATTTTGGGTCAGCAATATGCAACAGTCCTGTGAGCTGACCTGTAAACTACCAGACAATGCTAATCACAAAACCACACAACAGAGAACGTGTGGGTGTATGCGTCTACCTCCGTCCTTCTCTGAAATCTGAAAAATAAACATGAAAGTCTCCAAACAGTACAGCTTATGTTAAGTTCAACAACTTCTCTATTAACACTGGAAAAGGCTGTCCTGCCACTGGGACACAGAGACTTTGGGCTAACAAGGAGTATAAAAGTTCCTAAACTGTTCTTGGCTGGAGTGTGTTTTGCAGTCTGACAGATGTTCTTTAAACGTTAAAAAAGTTCTTCATGCTTGTCCATTTCATTTACATCATGGTAAAAAGAAATCCACAGCTCTTTTGATCATGCATAAAGCATGGTATGATCAAATAATGCTTGACCTCTGAGCTACAGGCCTATTCCAGGACTTTCTTTCTTTCAGTAAGGTAGCAGGACAAAATGAAGTAAGTAGCCTATATTTATTATGAAATATGCACATAATGTTTGAAATACTGGCAATATGCATAACCAAAAGAGGAACAAAGACAGCTATGCTATTTTGTTAATCACATTCAAAAATGAAATCAAAGGACTATTTAAATCAGCGTGTCCGCTCATCCATTTATCATTTTTAACTTCTAGACGATCCCTAAATGCAAATTCATAGCTGAGCAAAAATACACTGAACGTGTAAAAGAGAGAAAAAAAATGTCCTTTGTCCCACCATACCTTCAAACACCATCCAGCTTTAGCTGTGTCCTCTCTTCACTTCATACTTTATGTGCACAAATAGTCAGTTTTGTAAAGCTACCGTAATTTAAAACATCAGTTTGACTCATTAATGAGTAAATAATATTATTTATATTGCGACTTTGGCTAGCACAAAGTACTGGATCTGTGCTAGTGTGTTTCCACGGCATGAGCTAATAAAAATCAGCCATCAGCCAATAAAAAAATTAAAACTGGCCATTAAAATTCACAATTGGTGCACAATAATTTCAAATTACTGTTAGCTGGCCAGTTAGTTACCAAGCTAGCTAACAGTAAGCATAGTGTAGTTGCTAGTTAACCCCTGAAAGCATTTCACTTTTTTATTCCTTTTGAACCTTGCAAATGTGGTCACTGATCAGTCTGGTTCTCTGTTTTTAGCTTTGGTTTCATGACAGACAAGTCAGGCAACGTGAACCTTATACGTTTTGGTTCTTGGATAATCCAGTTAAAGATTCATAAGGATCTTTCACAGAGTTTAAGAACCTTTTCTACAATATGCTGTGGAAAGCCATCTAATGTTCTTTTAAACCGTTTTTAAGCGTATGAGTTCTCTGTGGAACCAAAAATGATTGCTCCAAGTAACTCTTTTTGTTTTCATCTAGTTCCTGTTTTTAAAAGTGAATGTAAATGACTTTATTTCTATTACTGACCTATAAGCTCTAAACGGACTCGCCCCTCAGTACCTGAGTGAACTTTTCCCCCACTATGAACCATCACGCCTACTTAGATCACAAGGTGCTGGCTTACTATTAGTACCTAGAATTAATAAAGTTACATCAGTAGGGAGAGCTTTCTCATACAAAGCCCCCCAGCTTTGGAATAATCTTCCTGTTAATGTTCGGGACTCAGACACAGCCTCAGTCTTTAAGTCTAGGCTAAAAACTTACTTGTATAGTCAAGCCTTTGGTAATTAGTTTTCCCTGTCAGATCCAGACCTGACGGAGTCTCTGCTGCTCTGTTTATACTGTAATCTGTGATCAGTCACTCATTACAGAACTCACTCTTTGTGTGTTTTTCCTTTCTTTGCCAAGTTGAACAGCTGCCCATTCTGTGCGTCTGATGCTGTTGCTTCGCCTGCCTTGATCAGGTGCCCACTGCTCGCCAGCCCTCTGGACCGGCTTGACCACCACTGAGCTTCATGCTGAACAACGCTGTGCAAACCTCACCCTCACGAACTGACCCTCCCAATGATGCTGCTGCTGCTGCTTAAACTAATCAATTTAGCCACTGTTCCACCTGTTTTCCCCGTTGTGTACTGGTGGCAGTGGTATGATTGAGCACAGTGAGCCTAGGCCCACCCAATTTTAAAAAGTTAAGTGACCCTTATTAGTCCCACTACCTGGAAATTTCACCTCCATCTACGCAGTGAAACACACACACTAGGGGCAGTGAGCACACTTGGATAGGGGACGTGGTCAGCCCTATCCACAGCACCCAGGGAACAGTTGGTGGTTAGGTGCCTTGCTCAAGGGCACTTCAGTAACGTACTGACGGCTCAAGGGATCAAACCAGTGACCTTCCGGTCACAAGGCTGGTTCCCTAACCTCCAGTCCATGACTTGCCCACCTAAAAGCACTGCTCAAATTTACTTTTAATATTAGAATATTATGAATAAATAAAAACAAAAACAAAGTAAAGTGCACTTGCCAAATATATGACATATGGAATTATATTTTTTATATCGACCAATAAAAATCCCAATTTAAATCAATTAATATAACTATGAGGCATTTGCTAAGCTTCATTCAAATGTTGCAGCAGACGTCAACGGGTTGCTAGTCTATTCAGAACAGGAGAACAGCTTGTCATAGAAAAGAAGAAGCTTCTTTTCCATGGCCTTCACCACTGCTGCTTCTACACCTCCAGCAGACCTGTGAGCTCTAAGGCACTACGGCAGCCCAAACTCAAACAATACTCAGCTACAGTTTTCAGCGTTACATTAAGGAATTTCCAGCACGCTAGTATAACAAGTATGAGTTTATGTAGTATGCATTGGCAGTGATGGAGTTAGCATTTATTTATTCTGGAAATAAATACAGATAAATGGAAGACGTTGCATGTGAATTTAAGAATTGGAAGCATATTAACATGGCATGTTCCAAGCATTAAAGCAGTCAAGTACACTACACAGCATTAGATAAATAGAGTAACTACAAACAGTTATCCAACTCTGTGTGTGGCACGATCATCAAACAGATTATTAATGCCAAAAACATAAATGCCAGAATTATAGCGAAAAATTACATGCATATTAAAGTTACGTTGGACATTATTGTTCCTGTATGGCACGCAAGACACACAAGTTCGATTTTTTTCCTATTATGAGCTCCAAGTTTTATATGTTGTTTTATGTTAAGCTTAACATAAAAAACATAAAACTTGGACTAAACTAAACAATCCAAAGACTGCAAAGGGTAACAAAGAAACAAATAACAAGCCTAAATACACAGAGAATACAAACACAATAACATAATATTCAGGAAAGCATCAGGACTATATATGCACATATACATAAACTAGGCATGGCTCGGGAACACTGATTGAGAAGGAGGGACTAGAGCAAAAGACCAGGTGAAACAAAGACATGATGGAAATGGAAGCGGGTTGGTACCAGGACAGGGAATACCTGACAGAAATCATTGTCTTTTTGGCTTCATAAAATGTATATGACAGGTTAATGACTGAAAGAAACGGCCTACATTCACAAACTGGTGCTTGCTTGTCATTTCAAAACAAGGTGGAATTGTGTGCTGCTGGCAGGGCGACTAGTCTGTTAGGGTTAATCATTAGGAGTCACTCGTAAAGGAGACTGAGAATAATCCACTCACGTGCATGCTCAAAGCCAGTACGCATTCGTTTGTATAACTTGCACCTCCACTCCCAGGCCTTCAGTTGCTTCTCCTTGTCAGAAGTCTCCAGGCTGAGGCTCTCTCTCATCACCTGGGTGGAGAGCTCACTGGCTCTTCTCTGAGCCTCCTGCACCAGTGCTGAGAGATGGGCCTCTCGGCTCTCCTGGCTCACAACTGAAACACAATACAGAATAGGTTAACAAATGCACAGGCCTAGGTAGTTTGTAAATTCTATGTATTACATCTTTGGGAGGCTTATTTGGTACACTGATGTGACAGGCATTGAAAACGTTCTATTTCGTAATGAATAACAATAAGAACTTTGTAGAATCAAGCCTCTTTTGACAAATTTAGCAATTTTTAAAATTTTCAAAATTTTTAAATACTGAATTAAATCTTGACCTTTGAGTCAAAGATCACACTGCCCACTTATTTCTCCAAGTCTTGGTCAGAAATTGCAGAAACAGCACCAAGCCTTCGCCAGAACAGAGCTCTCAAACATACAGCACATTTCATATGCATGCTGTGTTTTAGTGAGTGACATGCTGTTTACAGAAAGCCTTGATTCCTTTTTCCTTAGGTTTTAATCTAACAATAAAAACAGCAGCAAACACTTCAAGTTCCCTTTCTTAGGATACATGAAAGATACATATACTTCTGAAGCCTAAAGGGCAGGTTCACTGAAAACAATCCACTAACAATGAGTTCACTGCTGTCTGTGCCACAGGACTTACCATTCTCACCATTCACCATTCAGGAGCTTGTTTATTTGTCCCTCACTTTTTTCACTTTTTAGCCATTAAATTGTCATTATTAAAAAAAATTATATATGGCACAACAACACAACATCTTTCATTCTCAGTCCCAGTTTTTGAATGCAGCACAACAATATAAAAAGACATCCACAAGAGATTCTACGTTGAGTTTTGGGGCTGAGAATGAAGGAAGGTAATTGATGTTAGCTGTCAAAACGTCAACAAAAATGTCAGACTGACTTGTGCACTGTGTCAAACAAGACAGCTATGCAGCTATATCATGTCACTCAAGGTATAACAGTGCCACATATAGTAGCCAGCCTAACAAAAACTCTTACTTTTCTGAACAATTAATCTGTCAAGAGTTTTAGACTGGTGAGGAATAATTCCATCCTAAACTGAGCCTGATACAAAGCACAAACATGCTTAAAGTTTAGGTTCAAAGATGAATCACTTTTATGCTGTTTCCGCAATTTGAAAAGTGCAATTTTTTAAATCACAAGAGCTGCAAGTTTTATTATAACCTACATTGTCAACAATGTTGTCTAAGCAAGTTTCAAGTTTTATCCTAACATCACAGAGCTTGTGAACAACCTGTAGATGAGTCAGACCAATCAGAAGCAATCAACGACCCAGGTGCTGTGTACAACACAACCACAACTACCTGGCAGTCTGGCACACTATGTTCAGTGTTTAAGTCACCAGCTAAAAAAAGAGGATACGCTAGTCTACATGGGCAACAAAACAGGCCTGGACCTTAATTTGTAGAAATTAATCACAATTTGAATTACAGTCACAATATTGGTAAAAAAAATCACAATCATATATTTTCCCCAAATAGTTCTACTTGAAGTCAATGTCTTTTGAACTAGCCACATGGATCTTATCCAGTTACCTAGAGGCACAGATAAAGCAAATCCAATGTCTCTAATGATGGATGATATTTGCCAAGTAGGCAACAAGGTATTTCACTTCACAGCAGGAGAAGGCTATTAGGGGAAAGCAAAGTTTTTTTCAGGTAGCTCTTTCCTCATTCCACAGGAAAAGTGCAGGCCAAGTCCTAGAAGACCAGGAAAACTTTCGAAAAGAAATGCTCGTAAGATTGCTAGAAATGCAAATCAAAACCCCCTTTTGACTGGAAAAAAACATCAGGAAAATTGACTCTGGAGTGGTGGAGCACTGTTCTACTGTGTAGTGACACCTGCACAAATATGACCGTCATGGAAGAGTCACCAGAAGAAAACCTTTCCTGCATCCTCACCAGCAAATTTTGGAAGCAAATGGTTCAGAAGGAAAATGTGTTAAGATTTCTAATTCACATTGTCTTTAAGCACTCAGTAACTTAAGGCAGTGATTTATAAACTGTGTGTTGCCATTCACTGGTGGGTCGTAATGTGGGGACGAGTGGGCCACCAAGAAGCTGTATCAAGGCATGCTTTTTGATTTTCTTTGAGAGCAGAGTTCAATTAAATAAGTTTTAAAATCAGAAGCAGGAAACACTGTTTCTGCATTGCTACTGCTTCCATAGCACCCCCGTGTTATCAGTGTAGCCTCTTACATCTGACACATGCAACGAACATGGTCACACTTCCATGAAGTTTAGTTATGGCCTGTTACACTGGAACAAGTAGTTGCCAAGCTCAGAGTTTTAAGTCTAGTTTTTGCTGCTTGCCATGAGCTCCTTACAGGTATAAACATGCACAAAATATTGTTTGTCACTTATGACTGGCTCTCTCCCAGTGAAGCTCCAGTGATCATTATGTTGAAAACAAAACTTTGTATCTCCAAAACAGCTTTACTTTATAGGAGAACGAAAAACCTTCTTAACGCTGAATGGGAATTAGAGAAGAGATTTTTTTCCCTAAGTAATTATAAAACATTTCTACTGGTTCATTCAACATGAATTTTTGGCATCATGGCGTTCTCATGTCAAATACTACAAAAACTACAAAAATGGAAACAAGGTTTTGTCCCAACAGCAATACAATGGTAATCACAGCATAGTGCTAAAAAACTAGTCTAAGTGGCAATACTGATCAAAGCGAATTTGGCCACGTACAAAACAGACATAATGTCCAAGTAAATATGAAAAAAAAAATTACTATGTCCATACATACACTTTATTGCCAAAAGCATTCGCTTGTCTGCCTTCACATACATACGAACCTGAGTGACATCCCATTCTTAATCCATAGGGTTTAATATGATGTCGGCCCACCCTCTGCAGCTATAACAGCTTCAACTCTTCTGGGAAGGCTTTCCACAAGGTTGAGGAGTGTGTTTATGGGAATTTTTGACCATTCTTCCAGAAGCGCATTTGTGAGGTCAGACACCGATATTGGACGAAAAGGCCTGGCTCACAGTCTCCGCTCTAATTCATCCCAAAGGTGTTCTATCGGGTTGAGGTCAGGACTCAGACCAGTCAAGTTCAAACTCGCTCATCCATGTCTTTATGGACCTTGCTTTGTGCACTGGTGCGCAGTCATGTTGGAACAGGAAGGGGCCATCCCCAAAGTGTGATAGGATGCCACTTATCACGGTTTGGGGATGGTTCCGAGGAAATTTCACGACTGGACTTGTTGCACAGGTGGCATCCTATCACGGTACCATGCTGGAATTCACTGAGCTCCTGAGAGCGAACTATTCTTTCACAAATGTTTGTAGAAGCAGTCTGAATGCCTAGGTGCTTGGTTTTATACACCTGTGGCCATGGAAGCACCTTAATTCAATGATTTGGATGACTGAGTGAATACTTTTGGCAATATAGTGTATATGAAGATAAGAGCTGAATGCATTACACATATCTTCAAAACATATCAACACTGTCACAGTACAGCCAACATCGACTATACATGTATTAGTGGTGTACAAGTTAAGGCTTTGATAACACATTGATGCCATACATTTTAAGGCCACTATTTATTTTTTTTTGATGTTGTTAATGCATTCCCTTCGTTTGACACTTTAAACTACGCACTGTTCCAGACTAGAGCCCATTTGCTTTTACGCTGTTGCTATGATTGGCAATGGTAGTCTTTTTTAATGGCAAGTGCCATTGATGGCTCTCTTGAATTAGGTTATTTCCAGCTACCGCCAAGCTGTGACTTTGTTTATCACTGAAATACTTTGAGTCTGAAGTATCATTTATAAGCAAAACACGCTGCTGATGCTGGCAACATCAGTAACATCAGCATGAGAGGATGACTGTGGGAAACTACATCAGACAGTGCTCCTGGGAGAACTATGGATAAATCAACAACTTGCAAACTAACAGAACCAACAACAAAGTAGTAAATTCCAAATTGAAAACAAGACATAATGTAGCAGTATGAGAGTGAGAGGGCTATAGTCATGGAGGAGGTGGAACATGCAGACACTGTGCTCTCACTGGATGTCAGTAATGAAAATTGCAAAGTGATAAAGTATATTTTGTCCACTTTTAGAGCTCTATGCCACTGCTCTATGTTGCTGCTGGAACAAAACCTTGTATCTCCATTTTCATTTTTAATTTTTTACACAATTTAAACAAGCTAAGTGCCCTTTACATTGCATGTAAAATTCATGATGAATGGACCAAAAGAAACGATCCGAAATTGCTTGGGAAAAAAATTCTAGTTACAATGCCTTTTGCCTTCTCCTGTAAAGTTACCATTTTGGAGATATGAGATTTTGCTCTAACAGCGACAACTTACATACATATATAAATATGTATATATACTGTTTTGAAGTTATAATGAAAAAGACTGAAAATGTGTTCATGTTAGGAGATAAAGTCCTCATGGAAACAGCAGCAAAACCATTACATCTCGATTAACTCTCAAGGCATAATGCTGCTACTTGTCATTGCCAGTGTCAGTGTGGTTGTACATGAAGTCAAACGGGTTTAGGGGTGGTGGGGTAGAAAATGAACGTACTCGGTGGCAGGCTGGAACACACAGGACTGTGTTATGCCGTATAGATTTGTCATGGTAAAATGAATGCTGCCTGGCCAGTCCTCCTCGTAGACTGTGAATACTACTGCATGTTCTTTCAGAGCCTTAGTCATAGACCATGACAGCAAAATAAACAAATAAATACATGGCTGAAGAAACCCTCTTTCACTGGGGCTGTTCTGCTTGGCCCAAACCCCTGGAGACGAGAGCTCTCCAGGAGAAATGATAAAGTAAGTGTTGTCGTCTCTGAAAAAAGGGGGCAATAAAACTAGTCGGCCCTACTTGGGGGTCCACGGTGCAGTGGAAAAGGCAGCAATATTAGCAGCCTAGAAGGTGCAATTTCCTGTGCTCTGAAGATTGACATCTGGCCACTATGTGTGGTTAATTGAACAAACTATAAATTAATGGGCCAGTCTGCCGATAGTGCCCTGTCATACACAGTTGGCATTGTGGGGACATGGGGATTGCCCTAAATATAGACATTATGGGGACTTAGCCCTGCCCATAAACATGCTTTAACCTCAACCTAAGGTTGGACCTCCAAGCTGTCAGGCGTCTGGCTGATTGATTTACTTGGCACTTCTGGCCTGACATAAATATAATGCAGAAAGCCCAGGAGGGGAAAATACGGCAATGTTTATTTTCTGTTTGTTTACAAGGATTGGATTGTGCCGTGGTGAAATGTTTTGAAATTTAACTGCAGCCTGGGTACAATAAATCACTTAGTATAATTGCCGTGCGTTACATGCATCATTGGAAAAGTTAAACCATTAAACGACAAACCTTGTTAAGATTTCTTCTAGGGGATGCCGTGCGATGTCCCCCCCTTGTCGCCCTAACTGCCAGACTGCAGTACAGTGTTCTCTGTTTGCTCTCAGACAACATTTGGCTTTTTCATGCTCACACTGATTCAAGCACTCAGTTCTTGTGGGGCTTTTTTCCCTGCTGTGGCGTAGGAGGTAAGAAACACCTGTTCCACTGTTGCAGAGCTGAATATGCTATTGATTAGTTCAAGGGCAAATGAGTGCAGAACAAGACCTTATGCTATCTGTACATTATATTCTGTTTACTGCTCTCAGGCTTCAACAGATGCACTGAACTTCATAACCCCAAACACTATTCATATCTCTCTCATATAGTATTTACAACCACTTACAATGAATGGTATATCAAAGCCAGATTAATCACTCTTTCCATATCATGAGCGAAAAGATCTAAGCTGGATTCACATGCTTTCCTCCACCCTTGTCCTTTTGAATGACTTCTCTTCGCTCTCTGCTCCATGTCTTACAACATGAAATTATTCTTAACACAACTACAAAAGCATTTTTTTTTGCGCGAGTTACTATAGTTTTTACAGTACAGGTAGATTTCCAGTCTTTTAACTGTTTATGATGTATATTGTTAACAAGAAATCAGGGAATAAACAGCGCAAAGTGATAATGTTCCAGAATTAACTGACTTCTCCAGTCAAAATGGAAAACTAATAAAATGCTCTTCAGAAAAAAAGTGTCTCAGCTTGCATTTAACCAAATGGTTATGACAGTTGTCATTTTATGTTTTTGACAGAACTACGAGTGCTTATGACAGCCATCATGGAAAGGTTTACTTATTTCTGCACTCTGCTGCTTACTGCACAATCCTCTAAAGCAAAGTGTCAAAAAAACATCACACTGCCTCCCTCTGTGTATCCCAGTTTTCACTGCAAACAACTTGTCAAATTAGTGAGGGTCTGCTTTTGGTCTCGACAGTAAAAACCAGACATCTGACACAAGAAAAATCTTCTCATGATGATGAATTACTGCAATATAGTTTCAATCTCTGAACGTTCCAGCGGTCTTACACATACCAAAACTCTGGCGGTCGCACTCATCTGAGTCTTAAAGCCTGGATACACCAGGTCTGTTTTTATCCAACACAGTATTTTTTGCACTTTATAAAGTGTAATTTCATTATTGTGCCATAAAAATAGTCAACAATTAATTATTTAAAACGATGCCCATGTCCACAACAATCAAAAACACATTTAGTTAGCAATTACAGAAAATAGCACTGTATGCCTTAGCAGTCTATCAAGCTGTAGCTGCTTAAAATGCTGCAAGGCCATTAAAAACAACTGGACCATCTGTGTGAAAAGCCCCTAATACTGTAGAAGCCATATTTGAGTTCAACTGAAAAAAATTCAAATGGATCCATCTATAAAGCAAACCAAGCATTTGATGACTGTGATCCTAACGCTGGTTCATATGAAACCTGCACTGCTTTCACATGTCAGGCAGGCAGGACTACTCACAATGCGGGCTCTCCTTGGCCCCTGCTTTGAGCAGCAGCTTGGCGATGGGTACATTGTTGGTCATGATGGAGATGTCGAGAGGGGTCAAGCCCTCGCTATTGGGCGTGTTGAGATCCAGCTCATCAGCTGTGTACTGGAACAGCAGGATCTGCACAGCATCCAGGTCCTGCTGCTCCACCGCCTCGAAGAGAGCCTCACTGCTTTGCACATTCTGTACAGAGAAACGGAAAGCAAGGCCATCATGGTTGATATTCTAAATACCAGCTTGATATAGGCTCTTATATAGCTCTTTATATAAGAGCCCTCTAACACAAATTAACGTATACTAAAAAAGGGCGTCCAGTGGATGTTATTGCATTACTGCAGAAAGCAGCAAAAACCTTTACCTTAATAGGCAAGTGAACTGTTTTCCTATTAAATGTCTGAAAAGACCACTTCTAGACAATCCCTGAAGCAGGCATCAAATAATCAGTGACATTTGTAGAAGGACCAAAGCTAGGCGAAGCTATGACAGACATGAGGTCATAGTGGTATGAGCTGAAATGTCACTTCAGCAAACAGCAAAACAGTAAGGTCAAATAAACAGATTCTAAGCTATATAAATGTAAATGACTAAGAGAGACAGGCCTCTTATGACTACAATGTGCATTCTGAAGGGCACCATCACAAATAATAGGGCACCATCACAAGCGTTTAGATATAAGGCTGGGTGTATGTTAAACTGCCAGACCTAGATGTATTATACATTTCTGAGCACAAATTGTTGCAGACCAGTTGAAATACTTAAAAGACCACTAAAAGATCCAGTATATACTTCTACCCTGCTGAGTTAATCCTAGAAAGAGATTTGGCCGGGGCTCCCTAGTGGCATGATTCACCAAGAAGATATTGTCAGTTTTCTGATGAGAGCTTCAAAAAATAACAATGTGGAACCACAAGACTCAAACTACTATAACCTTTTTGGTCACTCACCGAGGCTTTGCGAATGCGATCTGAGCGGCCAAAGAAATAGGCATCCTCAAAAGAGGAGTGGCTACCCTTGAATTTTTCTGAGAGGTTGCGGTAGAGCCGTTTGGCTGCACTTGGAGAGGCGGGACCGGCCCCCTTCTTACTGTGGGTCAGCTGGAGGTTCTGCATCTGCTGGGTCATACTAACGGAGAAGGTCCTGAGGGAGGGAGAGGAGAGAGAAGACAGCACACTACAGTAAGAAAAGTCTGTTCTGCTGCACCGTCTCTATGTACAAGTGAATTCAAAGCATGCATCCTGGTTAGTACATTTTCTGCCTTTTTTCTGACTAATTTCTGAGTCATTAGTGCCTGTCTGACAGATGGACAAAGTAAAGTGATTAATGTAAAAGAAAGAGCCGCTTCAATATGCCTTTTGCCTTTGAGAACTGTGAACTACTTCACACATTTTTAACATCTGACACTGTTTTTGTGCATTGACAGCAAAAATCACTTTGACATTCAGCTTTTATGTCATCACAATTTTTCTCATTCTTATTCATGATGTACAGCAACCCTTTAGACATACTCTATTGATTGTCATATGCTTGTTCCTTGATCCACAAAATAATCACATTACATTCTTGCTGAATACAATTGGAATGACATAGTCAATGAATTTTATTTGTATTAAAAGGACATTATACAGTAGATCAATGTCAAAAAAGATAATACTAAACAAACCATGCTATCCCGACTCTTTTAATATGACAGTCAGACAGTGGCTCAATTGTCCTCTTTATTTAAAGTTCAAGGATATCTTTAGAGAATTTCTAATTTAATCTCGCTTTCATAAAACCAGTCAACTGAATACTCAGAAAAGAGAAATACTCCAGAAATAGCTCAGACCAGCTCAGATATACCAACAATTCAAAATAGCTTCTTGTGAAAAAACAGTTTCTGTTTCATACATTAAAGTCATGGCATGAATGCAAAAATTTATAAACACTACAGTGGAAGTGTCTCAAAGAATAGCAACATTATTTCTTTACTCACTATACAGTATGTTGTGTGACCACCCCTGACAAACCAAAGAGTAAAGAAAATACAGTATTCAAAAGGACAGTTTTGAAAAATCATTCACAAAACTAGCCCCATGTCATAGTTTTAGGCAGGGATGAACCACCATGGCTAGTCAGGGTCCAAACTGTCCTGAGAGATGCAGGTGGTGTAAAGAAACTGAAGAAGGTGGAAGCATGAAAACCATTTTAAAAAAGAGCAAGAACCAACAATACTCATTGATGTTTAAATAGGGAAATTCCAAAGATTTCAGAAGAAGAGCAAGTGACTTCACCTGAAGTGTCCTCAGCTGTCATTTACATTTTCACTTCAGAACTATGGAACCATGGGGACAGGCATGATATTTCTCATCTCAGGGGTCTATAATCCAGTCAGACATGAAATGACAGCAGTGCCCTGTTTTTCATTGCTTGTGCCAAGTTTTCTACACAAACACCCACACAGCACTAACAATATACACTCCACAGTGAAGGAGCACAGCCCTCTGACACCAGCAGGTAATTTAGCATATGCCTTGAGAGTTTCTCTCTCTTCTCTGCACCCTTGGAGCTTGGGGTTTCTGCCTACAATCCAATTACATCAATCAAAACCACAAGCCTGAGGAACAGGGGATGAGGAACACCTCTGGGGGAAAGGGTGCAGGGTGACAGTGCCTCTCTCACCTGTACTAGATAAGGTCAGTCAATTAGACATGTGCTGTAGGAGGGTGGAGAGGATGGGAGGAGGCTGAAGGTCACTCACCTGTCAAGGCTCAGGGAGCTCCCTGAAGAACCACTGAAGAACAGAAGTGGTCTGAAGTCCTTGATCAGCGCTGCATCGTTCTGCCTTTGGTTGAGTCTCTGAGCCAGCCGGGAGATCTTGCTCTCAGGTCTGAATGAAAGAGCCAAGAGAAAGCCCAGGTCAGTTCCTTGGAGAGGCTGACCAGTTGAAAAGCGAATTATACTTAGAATTTAAGGAGATGCTATGGATTCTGAAGCCCAGAACAGGCACCCTTGCTCTGGAAAGACAACCCAGGAGCACCTGGTGATCACCAGAGCGCTCCTATTCATGCGCATCTCGCCACAGCGCTGGCTAGCTAATGCGCAGAGAAAAGGGGAGCGGAGGGGGGAGGGAGAGTGAGTGAAAACGAGAGCGAGGGAGAGAGAGACAGAGAGAGCGAGAGAGAAAGAGAAAAGGAGGGAGGGGAAGAGAGGGGCATTCTGTCAGCACTAGGATGAGCAGCAGAGAGACAACAAAAGCACACAAGCATTTAAAGCAAGGTCCCACTGAGCATGCTCATAGCAGGCAGTGGTGATAGCGAAGGGGGGGGAGAGGAGGACCTGTTGTTCCTCCTCTATCATCACTACTGTTCTCCACAACATCGCTTATCTGCAGAAACAGGCATCTAATCCTTCAGCACTACAATCAGCACCATGGCTGTCAATGAGTTACCAGAGTGGTCCACGGGTCATCGCCGCCTAATCCACACATATATGCTGATATACGCATGCTGCTAGTTTTCCAGTACATGGCGTGCGCAGGGACTGAAGAGCCAGTCTGATAAGCACTCAATGTCCTCTAAGAGATGAATGTCGCCTCAGGTGTATTCACAGAGGATACTAATCAGTGATTTGCATTTATGCGCCAAAATGCTTTTCTAATTCAAATGAACCATATGTTCATGGTCTAAATAATCCGATGGTTCAGCTGGAGAAGCTTTCAGTGCTCATCGTGCAAAAAAACAGTATGTTTCTTTCATGAAGAGCATAAATTTTGGAAAGCTCAATCACTTCATGTAATGCTTTTAATCCATTACTACCAAGTGGCCGAAGTGGCCTAGTGCCAGACCGTGTACTTAGTGCTCCTGCGCACAAGGCATGGACTAATTTTTATTGTTTCCAGTGACCATTGGAAAATTACAGACACATTAACCTTTAGATGATGTTCTGAATAGTACAAAAGTGCTAAATGCTACATATCTAATGTGATATCAGAGCAGAACAAAAAGAAAAATAACAAAACCTAAGCATGTATTACAGTGGGTGGACTTCATGTCGTGACTTGGCGTCAAAACAGGCCTCTGGAGAGAAAGCTAAATTACACTAATTTTTCCTCATTATCACAGCACTCAGTGGCATATTACGGCATGTTCTAATTTCTCAAACAGCACTGCTATCCAATTCACATGCAATGCAACCATGTGATACAAAGTGACGGTTATTAATGATAGTTGTACTGAGTAGTTGTAGATCATCTTCCTGTGTTTAGAGCTTGCAGACCTATTACAGACCAGCAGAGTAATAAGAATACAGGTCAGGTAGCACAGGAGTATGCTTCATCTGACTTAGAAAAAGAACTGAGACAAAAACGGAACAGTGTACATGACAATGAACTGACAAGCTGACACATTTTCTCAATCACTTTTCAAGTGTCACATATTTCACACTAACTTCGTGAACTTCAGAGAGAGAAAAAGCGGTTAAAAGACAACAAAAGGAGTTTCCAAACCTTAGGTTCTAAAAATTATTAAAAGATTCAGAGAAAACAGGACTCCTAACAAGGGCTGAAAGATTCATCATTTTTATACAGAAATTACAATTGAACTAAGTACAATTTTCAAATCACAAGAGCTTCAATTTTAATTATAGCTTGCATTATTAATAATGTTGTCTTAACAATGTTCGAGTGGGGAAATTTATCCCAGTGACACTGCGATTGTGAACCACCTCTAGATGAGTTAGACCAACCAAAAGCAACCAATCATCCATGTGCTATGTACATGGCAACCACAAATACTCTGGCAAGCCTGAAGTGAATAAAACAGGTCTCATTATAGAGAAAATAGAAAATTATCACAAATTACATCACAGGCATAATATTGGTTGGAAAAAAAAATCACAATTAGATATTTTGCCCAAATTGTTCAGCCCAACTCTTAACTTCAGCCCTGATTCTCTTCCAGAAGCTGAGAAATTAATTACTCTATTCATGGCTACTTAATGGCCATTTTGACTGGACTTGAAATAAATGGAAGGTGGTCTCTGACTTTTGCACAGTACTGCAGAAATCACAGGCTTTATATCAGCAGTCGCCAGGGATACTAAACACTAGATACACAGTGGCTACCAATTTTCACATCTTTACATTCAGAGAATGAAGAAAGAGACTTTTTTCTTACACAGTGATACAAGAAAAAAAATCAGCTTATAATATTATACATACAGAAAAGACTTGAACCTTTAAGTGATTTAACAAGGAACAATATATTATGCACCCTCAGTTGCTTCCTCTATCAGAACACAATTTATGCAACATCAAGAAAAGTAAGTCTGTGACTGAGGAGCTTAAAGTACTTGGTTCATGTTTTAAAGCACTGAATAATCTAAATAAAACTATTGTTTTACGTTTGTATAAGAAAAGTAAGACTAAACTGTTTCACAGAACAACTTCAATAAGAGTAACAATAATTCTTTTCAATCAAGTTTTTTTTAATTGTGCTTTCAAAACAGGCTTATCTCTCAGGGTCCTAAGTAAACTGTTGACACGACTCAGCAAAAGGCCACATGTACAATCTTGAGTTGCAGCTAATTTACAAGAATTAATGCCTACAAAATTAACTCTTCAGATTCAGACTTCCATAAAGAATAAAAATAATTTCACTTAATGGATACTGAGGATCAAATACGCTTAAAAATCCATTATCGTATCTTCTTATATTGATGCATAATAATGGCAACAGGTGATAAATATCTCTGAGACACAAATATGAAAACACTGTCACAGAACGTCACAGGGATGAGCTCATCAAACATAGCACACACAGTGCATCCGCTGGAACACCAGTGCGCAGTGAAAAGGGAGGGCCTTGACGGCAGATGAAGGAACAGCCTACCTACTCAGACACAATTCTGAAAGTCTTCAAGAACATTGTCCATGAAAGGAGAACAAAGTGGTTTCCATAGTTGCAGCTTAAAAGCAGAGCTCTCCTCATCTTGCATGTGAATACTCATAAGACACAAGGCTAATGAGCTGTGACACTAATGATACTGCAAGAAGACCATATCACCAAGACCATTCATATCTCTTCTTCAAAGTGAATATGTTTGGCAGGCAATTAAAAAGGCAAAAATCTGTCTTAAAAAAGGTAATTCATAGCAGAAACTGTTACACTCTTAAAACAGGTATGTAAAACAGAATGGGTTAAATTAGAAAACTGTGTTAAAACAGGCATTCAATTTATTCATTCATCAAATAAGCAGCTCACCCTCCTCGGTCGCAGGAGCCTATCCCAGCATTCATTGGGGGAAAGGAAAAAAACACCCAGAATAGGTTGCCAGTCCGTCACAGGGCAGATACTCAGACATACACATTCACACACACACCCCTACCTAGGGGCAATTTAGCATTTCTAATAAGCCTGTCTGCATGGTGCAAACATGCAAACTCCACACAGAAAGGACACTGGTTGCCTAGCTGGGGAATCAAACCCGGTGCTGTGAGATTTCAGCTTAACAAAATGAACACTTTTCAGAGTGTGTTGAAACTGTCCCAATGTGTCTTGGGAAGTCTTGCCCAAGGTGGATTTGACTACTGCAATGTGTGAATAGGATGAATATATTCTCTTTTAGTCTACGTAAGGTGCAATATCACTTATATTCCTCAAGTTTAACAGCAAATGGCAGCAAATGTACTAGAAGAATAAAAATACCCATGTCAGTGTACAAAGTGGCCTTTCAACTAAAGACGCATTTTTGTCCTTTTCCCCTTTGCAATCAAACTGACAGCTAATAACTTGAGTGATAGAAAGAGAAAGAGAGAGAGAGAGAGAGAGAGAGAGAGAGAGAGAGAGAGAATCTGAGGAAGCAGCAGTCTGTTGAGCTCAAGCACAGCGGCACCAGGTTGTGAAAGCCTATATGTATTCATAAGAGACAAATAATTCACTAAAGATTTAAAAATAAAATCCAGTAGTTCATTACAGTCTTCATGTAATAAGTGTGCCTACTCCATGCAGACCTAATTCTAAGACTGATTTTTTACTTACAGTCTGTCTCAGCATTTTAATAACCCCACACCAGTTTGGAAAATCTATTAGATTTCTTCTCTAGTGATTAGTCACACTCTGCACCACAAAACTTCATTATTGATGATGAGGAAAAAAGCTATCACTGACAAGGCACAGATGGTTAAACATTTTAACTTGCACTTTATTAAAGCTGAATTGATTAACAGCATGATGAATGTCAGTACAGTAACTAGGTATGGCACAAAACGTATCTGATGTTGATAAATATGCTGGGAGTTCGTGCTCATACATTAGTTGAATCAGTCATTTCAAAGATGGTCTTAATGTTGCTCAGGTCCATTGAAGGCAGAAAAACATCTGGACCAGATTGGTTAGAGCTCTTTTTTATTAAAATTGGGTACTGAACTCACTGCAGATTTTTACATTTTTAATGTATTGTTTCAGATGAGCAATGTAGCTAAACTCTGGAAAGGAGCTTTTGTCTTGACTTCACTTAAAACAAAGATTAACAAATACCAATTAGACTGTTTCTGAATTACTCATATGGGCCAATATACTGGTATCTCCTGTCAGGATTAAGACCTAACTAATCTAAATCTACATAGCATGACCCTACTACTATTATACAAGAAGTGAGTGATAGATGCCAAAATACACTATGCATGTCAATGTTATGACTTACCAAAAACCTTTGACGCTATGTATCAAAAAAATCGATCATAATGTCTTATTGAATTAGTACTAAGATTATATCATATTTAAGTTGATGATTTGTTTCAGTTTTTCTGAGTTTATCATCTGGTGTTCCACAGGGATTGATACTTGGTCCAATTCACTTCTTGTTTTTATATGAATTATCTCAGACACG